ACAGCAGCACCTTCCATTTATACCTCCAGTTTAAAAATGGTCTCACACCATGGTCTTGAAATACTCTAACTATCTTTCCTTTAGTTTCCTCAAGTAAGAGTAATCGCACTTGACTCACTAGGAGCACATAGGTAAAACACCAAGTATAATAAGGAAGGTACATCATGTTAATTAGGAGAAGGGGCACACAAACCTTAGCTGATGGACAAGTTCATAGTCTTTCTTGTTTGAGGGCAGTTTTCCACCAGGCCATACTCTTTACCACAATGTGCTCATACTGCCCAAAGGCATACAGATCCTTAGTTCCCAAACCCTCCTGGAATGATGGTGCAGTAAAATCTTCCTATTCTTAAAATTCTTTGGTCAAGATTATTCAGTCTGCTGCAATGCAACACTAGAGACATGATAAGTCAGCACCTCTCTCCAGCAGCCTCAGCTACAACTCCAACAGGAGATGAATGGATAGAAGCAGCAGTCTGTAACACTCACACTCATCCAAAAGTACAATCACACTCATTCAGGAGCACACTGATGAAATTTCTTTTCTGGCCAGTTGCATAGGTTTAGAGCTGATTTCACAAAAAAAAAATGAGTACCGTTTCACAGATCACTCCATCTAGACCTCACTGCTGTCAGCTAATGCCATCAAACTAAATCAACAAGTCCAGAACACACTATAGGGACCTCATACACTGACAGGAAATCAGGGGAAAAAACAGTTACTTAACATAGCTACAATCATATTTCTCATAGTAATGACAATTCCTCCTTCAATGGCTCTGTTTTTGCTTGAAAAAGACTTGTCTACCTTCTTCCCTGACACGAATAGAGCAAACACAGCAGGGAAACTGACTCTGGAAGGCAGGTTTTCTTATTTCTTCCTGTTAGACATAGTATAGAGTATCCAGGAAAAGGTATTAGAAATACTAGGAATACCAGCCTTAGAATAAAGTGCTACACCACACACACTCTGATTGTTTCACCCACGTCTGGGAGTTCGCTGTACAGCGGATGACCACTGTCACTCTGAGCAGACAGACGACCACTGCACGCACATTCAGCGGGGTCTGCAGTAGGACCAGTTCATCAAAACCCAAAGTAAGTTACATCTCGACTCCTAGTGCCTTGAGTACACTAGTTTCATTTTCCCTGCATTTTCCTAATTTCCATATTGCACCCCATAAATCCACATTTATATTAAATGCAAAAATTATCTAGTTTCTATTTTTTAAATATTATTTAAGATTGCAAAAAGAAAAATAGTTGTGAAATCTTTAAATATTTGAAGATTGCTAAGAGCACACTGGCAACTTAGCAAAGTTGGAAGAGTTAAAATAAATTCTAAGATAAAGGCAAACAAAATGACAGACATAAGGGAACCACCTAAAGAGGAATGAGAACAGAGACTGAGGAGTCAATGATGCACAGACCACATCACAGTAATCCACAATCAGCAGTTTCAGTTTTTCCTGATGCAAAAACTGAACAGAGTACTAATCAAAGCACTTTGAGGTTAACTTAAGCAGAAAAGGGCCAGAATCATTATGGATTAATGCAATTCAGCCAAAGGAAGGAAAAGTCAATGAAATAAAACTGAAGTTAATATAGGTATTAGGAATGGGAAAAAGGAAACTTTCCACTGAAGACTCCTGACATAAGTTTTTGGTGCTAAAAAAAGCCCATGTAGTAGAAAACTAAGACTCATAATTAATACTATTTTGTCACTTGGAGAACAAATAAAATTACCAACTAGCACTGATTTTTTTTCTTCAAGTAATAAAGCATACCTATGTATACCAAATGTACTCCATGGAATAATCTCTGCAACAACAAAAAATAGGAATGCAGAAAACAACTCTCCCCATGCCTCTATTAGAGCAACTGCTGAGTCTAAAAACATCTTCATACATGAATTAAGAAAAGGAATAAACTTCACAGTGCAAGTACTCCCTTAAACAGAAGTAGGTTGTTATCATTTTCACTGTAATGTTTGCTTAAAACAAACTGCAACAGCCAATTCCACACCACAAACACTGAAGAAGCACTAACTCTTGTTTCCCTTCCCACATGAAATCAAGTAAAGAAGAATAAAGAGCATTAACTTGTCCAGCTTTAACTCCAAACTACTGCATAGACTGAGCATTCCACAAACTTGCAGGTAATCCTCTGAATTCATGGGATAAAGGCAACTTTAAAAAGGCTTGATTTTCCCAATTAAACAAGAAATCAGCATACATCACGAAATCAAATTATTAGAACAAAATTACTTAAACATATAGGGACTTGGGACAGGTAATCACTTCAGCAGCTTCTGTTGGATCACACCACACATGCTACTTCTGCTCACATAATTATCTCTCAACATCAATCAAAATATGGCAGTGGCACACTTTAGCATCATATACAAATATGTAATATACCACAATTTATATATAATATATATGTTTATACATGTATAAAAAGTATGTACGTTTTGATTTTTTAGATACAAAAAAATCAGTCCCACACTATCAGCTGGCTAATCTGCATTCCACAGTTTCTATTATACTAGTCTAAGTAATTATTTTGCTAGATTGTTGACATCATTAGCTATCTGACATGTTAGATCTCAGCCCAATACTAGGTCCTACAACATTATAAAAAAGTCTACTTATAGTTGGCATTTTTGGCTTTTTCTAAAAAAGAAATCCACTTCTTCTGTATGTGGTTGCAGACAAATTTTGCAGCCACAAAATGCAAGAGTTAGAAACAGGAGCCCCAAATGCATTTATTGTGTCATTACTCTGTCAAATCTTGACTTTGTCAAGGCCTTGACATTGCATTTTTGCAGTTAGCCAATTCTTAGATACTGATTTCAGCTGTAAGACTGAGTAAACCACATGAGAATTAGGGGTAGTTATGAATCCAACAGTAAGGCTTCCTATTTACTGAATCATAATTTCTCAAAAAGATCTTGAAACCCATTTTAACAGGCCAGCTACTAAAAGTTTAAAATTTGTTCGAATATTTTCAAGTTACAAAATCTTGACATACAGAATCATGTTTATCCTGGATGGAAAATGATATTATGTAAAGTTTTAGCTTAAACTTATCAGATTATTATCATTGTTTTAGCCACAATTCTGAAGCAGACTGATCTCAGCCAGAAATCTGCAATATTTTAAAAGTGACTATATAAATTTTAAATAGTCTTGTTACCACACGTACGATTACACTCCATAAAAACAGAGCTCAAATGCAACCTATTGCTCACCCATGATAATGAACACTAGGAGAACTAAGTTAACCCCAGTGGCTGATCTGGAGTCACTTAAGCCAGCCGCTACAATGCAGGGCTGCAGTTCCACCAGAGCACAGTGCACGTCACAAGAAATAAACAACTTTTAATACCTGCCTTATCCAGCAATCCAGCTAGGGAGATCCATCACATTAGACACCACCATCCACTCTGAAAATCTTAGTGAGATAAATAACGAAGATTAAAGCTTTTGTATTTCCAAAATAAAATAAGTTTCATTAAATGAACACCTTACCCCTCCTCACTTCAGAGAGAGAAGTGTACTGAGTTCATTTAGAAAAAGAAAGAAGAAAATTATTAGCTGTCAATATGTATTCAACCGTGTAGGTATCACTCAATTAATTAGACTTAGTGTTAACAATATTTTACATATAGCTACTCTTAGACCCATTAGCAATGACCAATAACAATTTATTTTACCTGCCTAAGTGAAAGTCATGCATCTGTCGCAGTGTGAGACTTCATCTTTCAGATAACCCCCCGGTGTGGGGTTTAACCAGCTGTACTGCCCATCACATCACAAGTATAACTCAAACAAAACGTAAAGCCAAAGCAGAGGCTCAGACCCCGTGTCAGACTGTCAGAGCCATATCTGAAGCAAAAACCTACGTACCCCTCACAAGAAGGGGATGCTCAGTTCTCTGCTTTGATCATACAGCAGAAAAACAGGTGTAAGGTGTTTTCACAGAGTTGTTTGCTGGATTTTTTTTGTTTTATTTTAAATATTTGCAGTCTTGCCTTGGCCTTGGAACAATGGTATCAAGTTTAAGCTCCATGTCGTTTTAAACTCTGGCTCTCCCCTCCTTGCCAACCTTGCGTGGTATAAATAGCAGTGAGCGGAGGAGCAAGCAGTAAAGATACTCCTAAAAAAAAGTCTCAGGAGTGTTTGTACTCCTAGTGCAGGACCAAAGCACTTGGGGTGCAAGACAGCAAACTGTAGCAGCTTTTCAACCACGGTGTCAGCGTTCATCTAGATAAAAAAGCTACGCCAGCAACATACGATTTCCATATCGCTCAATATCGAAAACTCTTAACACACAGCTTGGGTCCCTGGAAGTTCGGACGCCCCAGCCCGGGGCAGAGGCCCCTCGGGGCGGGCCCCGCTGCAGCCTCACCTGCGCTGCCCCGAGGCCGCGGCTCCGCCGCACCTCGCCAGGCACACGGGAGCGCGGCGGGCGGGGAACCGCCGAAGAGCAAAGAAGGAAAGTAAGCTGGAGCAGGACGGAGCGGCGGCAGTGACCCACTTCCTCCGCCGGCACCTCGGCGCTCGGGCAGCCTCAGCCCCGCTCCGCTCCCGCGCCCCGTTATCCGGCCGCCCCGGGAAGCCCTCACTGAGAGAGCGAGGGGGAATGAGGGGGGCGGGATGACACTCACATTTTTGCAGGACAAGAAGCCCGCACTTACACCGACGCACACACGCTGTCCGTCACTTGTAGCTCGGCTCCACTGGAGAAAACTGCGCCGCGGCCGCTCTCGCCGCCGGCACCGCCCCCCCCTCCGCCCCCGCGGAGGCCCCGGCAGCGCCACGCCCGCACCCGCCCGCCCGCTCCTCGCCAGCGCCGTCGGGCCGGCGTGCGCGGCTCCTCCGCCCGGGTTGCTCCCCTCCGGCGGCCCCGCGTCCCCTCGGGCCGTCCCGTCCCGTCCCGCCCCGCGCGCCCCGGCCGCACCTGCCCCGCGGGTCCCCGCACCCCGCTCCGCTCACCTGGCGCGGGCCGGGCTGTCCCTGGGCGGTGCGTCTGTGGCCGGGGGCGGGGGGGGGGCGGCCGGCGCGGGAGGCGCAGGTAGAGCCGAGCGGGGGAACTGGGTCAGCGGCTAAAAATACCGCGCGGGGTGGAGGAGGATCCGGCCGCGGCGCCCGGGACGGCGGCCGCCCCTCCTGGGGGCTGTCGGCGGTGCCGGGGGGCGCAGGGCCCTCCCCGCGGCCGGGTCGGGGCGGGCCGTGACCTTGCTCCAGCCGGGCAAGGTGCGCTGGTTCAAACTCGCAGCCGACGGCGACAAAACCTGCCCACCCTCGTTTTAATTCCTAAACCGCGTGTGGCTTCACGGGCGGCGTGCCGGGGCCATGGGATGCCCCGGTGCTGCACAGCCGGGGTTCAATCACCCGCCCGGGGCAGCGGCCGGGCCGGCCGGGCAGCATTCCCCCGGCAGGGCCCAGGCCAGCCGGGCCGGGATGTGCTCCCTCCCGCCCCGGGCTGCTGTGCTAGGCGGCTGCCTGTCGTGTGTGTCCACTGCCGCTGTGCCGAACGAGGGAGCACGGAAAATTCGCTTGTTCCTGCGAAGTTCCTGCATTCTGTTACAACGCGCAGGGCGGTGGTGTACTCACCATCCCTGGAGGTGTTTGAGAGTTGTCTGGATCTGGTGCTGGGTGTTATTGCTTAGTAGTTTAGGGATTGCAGTGGCAGTGCTGGGTTAACGATTGATCTTAAAGGTCTCTTCCAACCTCTGTGATTCTGTGAAGTCAGCTGAGAGCTGCGTGGGTCTGAGGTTACTGAAGCGGCACGCAGCAGTGCTAAGGCAATGTCCACGTTACTACAAAAGTCCCAGGAGACTCTAGCTTAGTTTTCCTGATGGCCTAAGCAGTTCAATGCCAGACTTGTGCTAATCTTTGTGTTTATGTGAATTATTTACAAATGCAAACCACATAAAAAATGTGTGAGTTTAGTCGTGACTGGCCGCAATTTTAACTCTGCCTTTTGGCACCCTGTCCATGGTATTATTTGCAGCCACTTCTTTATGCTCAACATCCTGGTTTTTAGTGGTAGTAGAGTCAATGCTTCCCTCCAAGATTTGTCCACTCAGATTTCGATGGAGAAAGTAGTCTCCCTGACCCCATGGAGTAGCTGCTGGGGCTTTGGCACTAAAGTGGTGGCACTGCCTATAACACAAAGCAGAGAGGAAGGATCTTTTACTAATCATTACAAAGCCCAAAAAAGTAAGTTATGCCTATGTGATGTCTGAGGAGGAGAAACTTCCAAATGCCAGTAAAGTTGGAGATGCTCACCTGGCATGTCTGGTACACAAGGACACAGCAGGCTTCAGGCTCCCTGTGAGCCAATGTTAAGAGTCTGTATCCAGGACAGATTTGGTGACTCCACAGGAAATGCTTTCTTGACATCAAGCTAATTCCCTGACCTTCCTGTCCACCCTTCTGTACTATATACAGTTGCTGGCTATTTATATATGTGATGAATATGATTCAGAATTAAGCATGCCAGGAAGACAATGATTCTTTCAACCTAATAATTAAAAAAGGAATACAGCATGATTGCTTTGTTCCATCACCACATGAAAGAGAACTATTTTTTTTATTGTGGTTAGCTTAATAGTAACAAACAAAATATTTTATTCCCGTCTATGAAAAGCAATCTTGCCTGTCTCTATGGGCTTCATCCAAAGCGTGCTGGAGTCAGTAGTATTATGCATGGGTTTTCAGTTAGCACATGACTGCAAATCTAGTAAGCTGGATTAGAGCAAGAGTGCTTTTGGGCTACAAGACTGAACATTGTACAGAACTTGGGCACCCTAAGAGGGAATAATGACAGTTTTTAGTGAGGATCTGTATGGTGCTCCAGATCTTGGTAGGCAAATCCTTCAGAAGCACAGCTGAAGCACCCTGGCATGAGTCCACTGCTGTGCCTGGACGTGTGTAGCAAGGGATATGGTGAGATTTCTGTGGTGTCATTACATTACTGCTCATGTGAAACTGAGTGATAGATGGTTTACATAGCCAGCCTTTTAGCAAAGTTCACAGGCATAGCTCCAACTGTATGTATCAAGGCTAATCTCAATTACAACTTAAAAATGCCTCTGTCTTTGTCACCGTGGGGATGGTCTGGAAAGTATCGACTGATTGCTACAGCTGAAAGCATTTCGTGTTGATCTTTATGCCACCAAAGATCACAGTTCATTCAGCGTTCGCTGAAACCATTCCACTCCAGTGGCTCTTTCATTTTTCCTGGGTTTGTTGTTTGTCTAGGCCTTTCATACAGCAGTAATCAAGGAAAAAAAATTTAAAAAACACAGACTTAGGTTCTTTTAAAATGAGGTAATAATGAGGGAATGATGTTTGCTCCTATACCTTTTTTACCTCCTAAGCTTTTATGGTCCATGCATTTTGAGTTTCAGAAATGTAGGAGGAAAACTGCAGGATCAGGTCTCTGAGTGTTGAAAATGAAGGGAAGGAAGCAAGAAAGAAGAGGGAAGAAAGGCAAAACCACATAAATGAGGAAGAGAAATGAAAGAAAAAGGATGATGAGGGGGAGGATAACAAAGAAGAATAAAGCACGGGAAAGAATTGGAGAGACCAGAGAAAGGGGTGAATATCACAATAGGCGTGAAAGGAGTAACAGAGGTTTTTTATATTCTTTTCTTCTTTCTTGTCAATTGGGATTAGTCAGGAGTAGACACCACAAATGCCTCTAAAGGGATTGGAAGGAAAAACTACCCCAAGATGGATGTATGTCTGTCTTTAATAATAGATATGATTGCAGCAGGTATAAATAATTTGAAATAGTACCAGGTAAGTTGAGTATCCATAACAGTAAAAATGCAGCCGCACAGGATGGCTGAGTCTGTGTCCTGCTGGTATCCAAGGTAATGGATGGGTTGGAATAGGTTATTAAGGAACTCAGTTTCTGTTCCTGGCTTTTCATGGTTGCTCATGTACTTTATTATTATATGCAATCATCTAGAAAAGCAGTGTTGTAACAGGGATTGAAATTCAAATGTCCCTGCTCCCAGCTAGGTACCTTAATTGTTGCATTGCAAAGTGATGCCTTGCTTCCCTGGCCCAATGAATGTGGATTAGTTTGTACAGAATAACAGACTTTCAGTAGGGGCAATGAAAGGCATTCCTCCCAGCTAGCCTCTGGCCTGGTGACGAAGGGAATTTCCTGGGAAGTGTCAGATAGGACTTCACTGTTGTCCTTATGACTCTCCAGGTCTAACCTCTGCTTGTTTAGCTGATGAGAGAACCTCTCCTTCCTCCTGCCATGCTTTCAAACAACGCCAAAGTCTAACTCCAGCCCTAACTCAAGAATGAAGTGCTTTAGATGCCAAGAAGGTTCTAGTTGCAATGTCAGTAATTGGCCACTGAGGTTCTTCTCACACTGGTTGTTGGAGATTCTGGTCCAAGGTACTGCTACTTCTGGTGTGGTGGGGAGTGGGAACACATGGCCTGAGCTGTGGGCTTCAGGGCACCAAACTGGTGCCAGAACATGGGGGCTTCAGCTCTTAACACTGCAACAGCTTGGCCTGTGGTGGATTTATAGTTTGTGATAAGTCTTATCCTGGCTGTGTTTGGGAAAACACCATGTTGTGGATTTGTTCATGGTACACAGCAGTGTGTTCATGGGTAATTCTCAGGCATCAGGAGGCTGACTTCTGTCAGATGAAATTTCTGCAGGCTGAAGGGTAATGTCTGCTGGTGTGATGGTTTTTTGTTTGTTTGGGGATTTTTTTGCGGTAGAGAGAGGGCCAGTAGAGATATGTAATGACTGTTGATAACTGCATTTAATTTTTTTGGCAAGTGGTAAATACTGTTCGCCTTTGTTTGTTTATGCAAACTACATTTAAAGTACTGCATTAATACAAAGCAAACGTCTCTGCAGGCCAGTGTCAGTTTTGGTTGAAGAAAAGTATGGCACCACAGTTGAGAGTCTTCATTATCTTCTAAGACTCAATTACTAATGAATATTCTTTAATTTTTGTTACCACAAACTTCACATGCATATGACTTATTTGAATTAAATTGTATACTTCCTGCTTTGACAACATACTGATGAAGTATGCTAGAGAAAATCATTAGAAGTAGTCCTGCGGAAAACGTTGAAAATGTCTTTGGATCGTAATTTGGGTTCAGTCGTGTAATTTTGCTGGTGTTTTACCTGTGATGTGTACAAGTAACATCCTTTGAAGAATCCTTGGTATATTTCCTCCACGGTTTAGAAAACAATCAGACTGTGGATATCCTCACAAAAAGTACTGGTAAGATCTCTGGGCTAAATTAGTCACATATGTAATTTTTCTTTCATATGCTTTTCAGTAAAGCAAGGTTCAGACGTCTACTTACAAACAGCACGGGTGGAGAACAGAAAATACTGTGAACACTTTAACCATTAAGCTGATTGTAGTTTACTTGAATCCATAATGTAATACACTCTTCCCTTCATGGGCCATTATCTCTAACCTCTACAATAAACCTCTACATTGTATGTCTTATTAATTATTTATTCCTTCCATTATTTTTAAATGGACATTAAAGAATTGGCTAATGGTTTCTAGCACAATTCATAGAAACAAGTCTGTTCAATAATTTTTGGAAGCATTTTCCTATGGCGAATGACATAATAAGGAAAGCATTAGGCTTCATCTTGTGTGGAGTTAAAATACCGCATTAACTGCTTTATTCCTATTAATATGTCAAGAAATTGAGATAGGTTTTTTTCCTTCCTGATATTAGTGATTGAGAATATGTGTGTTATTTTTCTAGATTATTTTAATTACTTTTCTATTTTTTTCTACTTAAATAAAAAATTGACTAATTTTCCCCCCTTCTTTAGTGCAATTTCAATGAGCTCAGATAACCACATGCAGAATGACAGCTGTAGTCTTCTGTACCAATTGTTATACCTTGGTATTTTCCACATACACTCTTTCCTAAGCAAACACACTTTCACATAAGCAGATTTATGCAAAAACCCACAAATATGGCTATTTGTTTATTCTGAAAGGGGGGAAAAAAAGATTGTATGGTGAACACGATGGCCCAGCAGAGTTATTGTTAAAGCAGTATCTTCAATCCATATGAGTGCAATTCAGAATTTAATTGCCTTTGTCAAGGCAAGGGGGAAGGGATATTACAGCAAGGAAGATGGTTAAACCTTGCAAAAGTATACTGGCAGGGGGGATGGCTACTGGAAGAGGTTAAGTCACAGATCATGTGAACATGTTTGAGAGATCGATATGTTGCCACAATGTGAATATTTCCAGTCAAACCTGCCTACTTCCTAAGAGAGTAGTGGTGTTATTTGTAGATGTCCTGAAATGACTGAACAGAAAGAATATTGGGAATGCTGGTTTTCAGTCATGTTGAACTGGAGCTGATGCTTAAATAACTAAAAGAGCACTAATTTGATTAATGACTTGGTCAAAGGAGAGAGAGAGAGACCTGTGAAAAAAGTGCCTAGAGATGCTAACTGGTGGGACTATTTGATGTGATAACGAGACGATGGTTGACAATAAATTCCTGTGGCACCCCATAGCAAATTTGAGGAGACAGGGCAGGAGCTCTCCAAAGAAGATGCTGGCAGATGAGTCAGAAACCTGAAGTGGGAGATATTCTAGCTATTAGAGACAGCACCACACATTTCTTACTTTTGGTCCTTTGTTTTTGTTTCTTTTTTGTCTTGTTGTTGTTTAGGGTTTTTGTTTAGTTGGTTTTTGGTGTTTTGTTTTGTTTATTTAAAGGAAAACAACTTTTTCTAAAAGTCCTCCTTAAGATCTTTCTGTTAAAGGAACCGTCTGTGGCAGAGAAATGAAGAGACCTATTTTGCACAGACCTATTTGAAAATATTTCTTGCCAGGAAACAAGTGCTTCTGAGCCTTTAAGGCTATGCCTCTACAACAGTTCTAAGATACGCTTGCCTTCAACTATATAACAGTGGTTAACAGGGGTCTACAGAAGAGTTATTAGCACTAAGACTTATTTAAGGGAAATTATTAGAAGGAAAAGATTATACGGCCAGTTTCTTTCTCTACTTTTCAGTGTTTTAATCACTAACTCACTATAGACTTAATGTCTTGACAAAATAAAATTTTGCTCAATTAAAACTGATCTCATTCTTATCTGCAGCAAGTCAGCTGCTTAAATGGTACTGAAGATTATTTGCTTCTGTCACTTTTCTATAATTAAGGAACACACAAATTATATTGCTGTTGCAGCATCTCCCCAGTGTAGGTTTGGATGTGAGATTAAGTTAGCAGGGTTTACCAAGTATCATTTATACCATGGTAAATGTGGATGTGGGGATGAATAGGCTCTTAGCCAGCAGCAAATATGTGGTGATGTGACATGTTCTGACAGGAGAGAAGACTAAACTAACTTGCACACGGTTTGCCAGTAGTAAATGCAAAGTAATACATGCTGACAGTTCCTGCAGGCCAGCTGATGCATAGTGAGTTGTTAATAGGTGCTAAGTTGATGGTGCTTCTGAGCTCACAAGACAGTGTAATGTAGTGTACCACATTGCTTTTGCTTAGGTCCTCTTCTGTCAGTAATGTCTTCTCTGGGTTTCAGATCTGTATGTGTATGAATGTGTATTTCATTAGACCCATAACACCTTAATATTGCAAATTGTGTCATTGTTCACACTGGTTGGAATAGTCCTATTTAGAAGTAAGTATGGTATATGTAACAGGACAGAAAAAAACAGAAAAGTGGGAGTAATTGTGATAAAGGTACTGTGCACTAAACGGAAGCTTGCACCAACAAAATAGAGAGGAAAAGCTGGAAACCAGTTCTGTGTGGCAACAAGATGTCCCCTTCTGAGCCTTACTGAGACTGGATGGAACAAAATGCTGTGGGGAAGCTGTGCTGCAGCAGCCTATGGCAGGATTTAGCACAGACTGCTCAAAGTCAGATAACTGGACAATGAAACCCTTTCCACTTGCCCATCCTCTCTAATATGGACAAATGAATTCCAACATGAATGAAGGGATAGCATATGCTTTTTGATTTGGGCGTTGAAATTGAATGTATTCACTGTGCCTGAAAGATTACTGAACAATTAAGAGATCGGGAAAAAACAAGTAAATAAAACACAAAACAAGCCTTTTCTACCTGTCATTTTAAAGAAATGGTATTCATTCAATGGGAGCAAGAAAATGAAAGTAAATTTAGGATTTTTTCCCTCCTGTCTGGGAACACAAGCCAAAAGGAAGAAGATGAGAAAACACATATGGAATTTAGAGTGAAAATAATCTAGTGTGTATGGGAGTGTTGGGGTGGTAAGTTTCTTATTGGCACCTAATGTGTTTTAGCCTGTGTTTCCCATAGCAGCATAGATTACTTAGAGGTCTTACATGAACTCATTTCTGAACCAGTCCTTATTTTCCTTAGAACAGGTCTGATGTATTAATTTTCTTTCCCCCAATACTCACTGTAACTGATGAAAGAAACTTCTCTAGGGTAAAAACCCTGAGACTGTTGTTCTTGGCTTAGTATTAATGGCTGGACAGACCTTACATAAGAAAATTAAGAAAATTTAGCCCTGTCTAGGGTTCAAGCCACTCACCTTTACAAACTGGACTAGATTACTGGTGAATCAGGTGCATCTGAAATAAGAACAACACTATTTTATTTGAAAATTGCAGGTAAGTGAGACAGGTTGTGCATGTATTATGTGTCTACAGCACTTTTCACCTGGAATGCAGTACGATTTATCTGTGAAATTATGTGTTGTTGATATTTCATACTGTAAAGGCAGTGTGAATAAACAAAGTTATTAATAAACCAGATAAATGTTGAATTAATATTTTGGATGTGTTATTTTGGCTATTTTGCAGTCTTAAGGGTTGATTGTAAGTATAATGAACTGTAAGAAAAAAGGAAAAGCCACGCATACAAAGTTACAAAATCATTAGCAGTGTCTGAGCAATGTATTTCTTTTGTTGATTTAACCTCAGTTCCTTTTTCTGATGGGTCAGTAGTCTTGGATAGAAGGAAGAAAAGTTAAATTGGAATAGAAACAAACATTTTTAGCTAGAAGAAACAAAGCTAGTTTCTTCATTACTAGCTACTTGCTTTCTTGTAGCTGAACGTAAGGCTAGCACATAGATAAGCCACCAAGATGCGATGTTGGAATGTTTTGAAGGCAGAAGTCAGTTAATTTGCACAGGGAGTTATAAAAATATGTATGTTTTCTATTGTGACGAGCTTCTGAGTCAGAGATGGAATGTGCAGCGGAAGAATACTCATCCCTGCTGCCCCACGTGGCGCCCTCCTTAACCACAGTCTCTTGCTCAGCCTCCTATTAGTGGGCATTTGTCAGTTTTTATAATTTTCCATAGTCTGAAATGGAAACTGTAGTAGCATATAGCATTTTCTAAGCCTAAAATGACTAGAATTCTCCAAGGAATCCCTCTATGCCTGACTTTTCCTACTTTGTATGTATCACAGAAAACTGAAATATCATACTCTGCACACTGACCTGTACTCTGGATTTCATTTGCCATTTACGATGAGCAGCTTGCAGTGTGTTTAAAATGGGTATAACAGGCAATGCTGTTATTAAGGGTTACTGATCCTGTCTCTGTGAATATTGGTATAATGGATGGTGGTGCCAACTAGAGCTGATTATTTCCTGCTCTTCAGCACTGCTGTCTCCGTGGAAGTTGAAGCTGCAGACTTCCTTAATTATTCATGCCAGTCCAGAAACTGAAAACAGTAGGGCTAAGTATAGTGGAGCCTTCTGCCATAGTCAGCCCTTCTTTCTTTTAAATACACGGCTTGAAGGTAAGCTAGCAAGGTAATCTTTCAGGGAAAACTGTGGGCATTTTAAATATACCCTGGAATACTTGTGCAGTACACTTCTCCCAGAGACTGAATGAATCATTGTGTAAAATGCTTCTGAAAAGGAGCCATTCTCCTGCCTTAAACCTGTATGCAGACAGTACATAAAAGTCAGCCTCTCTGCATATGCTGGATATAGTTCAGGAACTGCTGCTAATAAGGTTTTATCCCAGTGAAAAACCTGAAGATTCCTGATTATAGACAAGGATCAGACAGAACTATTAGCCTAGGCTAGTAATAGAATAAAACATAATCCTTGAATTGCATGTTTCCTGAGAAGGTTTCAAAGTACTCTGTAAAGTGGTTAAAACATATTTCCCACATATATGAGAACAGTATCAAAGAGTTCAATGACATGATACATGATACAGAGAACATGAGAGGTGGTGGGGGAAAACATTAATTCTCACTTCTACAAATTCTGTATTTCACTTAGTCTGAAAATACCTGTATTCAGGTTTCATTCTTCTTCATATTAAGAAAATGAGATCTACGAGTCAGAAGGGTTCCAGATTTTGCTGGCCCATCAAAATCTGTATGACCCAAAGAAAGGATTTTTATTTTGGTCACTTGTTCTCTTCCTACAATGGTAAAATAGGCAGTGAAATAAACACTACTGCAGTACATTTTTCTTTTGGAGAATAATATAGGCCTTGCTTAAAATAATGTGAGAAACCCATTTGTAGCTGAAGATGTATGTCACAGCATTTGCAAGAAGCAGTCTGCTGAAACTTATTTGTTTTTAATGAGTAAGCATGAATACACCCAAATGAAGGCTTTCTCTGGTATCACATCAGACTTACTTGCATTTAAATTAGTGGGTCAGCAAGAAAGGACAGTGGAACCTTTTATTAGCAGCTGACTTCTCCTGAATCTCATTTTACATTCTTGGTTCTAGCACTATTCAACTGAAAGGAGATCCTGTAAAAAAAGATGGAGGTGAATAACAGACAACAGAGAAAAGGCAGGTGCCAGACATCAGTTTCCACTGTGTTCTTCAAAAATATCTGTATCCTCAATGATATTATAAAGAACCATAATGCAGCATGTGTCCTTGTGAAACAGGCAGTCTTTTGTATTCTCTGGTAAGAGCTTTTCATGAGAGAAGTCTAGGATGCACAGTTGAGTATTTTTTTTAAAGCTGTCTTAGATGAAGAGGCTACCTATCAAGTAAGAAACAAAGGTAAATAATTTAAATTGTATTTCACCTGGTGAAATCTTTATGGTGGTGCTGTTCTCTAAGGAAGTTTATATTTTCCCTACAGTCACTCTGTGATGTACCAGGAGATCTCAAGAGTGAATTTGATAACACTCTTATTTCTAACAGGAACTCTTCCTATGCTGGACAGCCTGTTGCTCATTCCTCATCTTTAATGATGGTCTTCTTCGAAAAGCTACAGGATATCTTAATTTCTCTCGAATTTTGGTTTTGAGGGTTAATTAGTATACAAATGGCAAAGACACCATGTGACCTCTGCAGGGAATATATAGCTTGTTATCACATGCATCAGCAAGTACATCTGAGATGTCATGGACCTTGCTTTCTTAGCTGTAGCTCTTTCCAGCTCTAGCTGGACATACACGCAGATACTTTTGTTGTTCTGGTAACACCAGAGAAGGTGGTTGATCATTAGTATGTGATGAATTACAGAGCACATATAGACTAACAGGGCTACACTCCCTATGGAATGCTAAGTAATGAATGTGGCTGATACCTTTTTAATGAGAAAGTTGAATAATAGAAAGGATCTGTTGTTAAAGCTGTGTTTTCTTTGGGATACAATATAAATGAGCTGCTTGAGGAGCAGATGACGTGACTAATTAATCCCCAGTGTAACTTTACTGGACTCAGTTGATTTGCATGAGAATAATTTTGTTAATTCTTTCGGAGAGAGGAAAAAAAAGTTAAGAATTACATAGCAGGGAAGGTGTGCAGTTATTATCTTATATGTGAAACTTTTACATCAAATTTAGTGGCTCACTAAGTGCTTTAGTTTAATATTGGGGAGTTAAAGGAAAACAGAATTTATTGCCATGAATTGCAAATATTAATGACCTTTTTCCCAAAGTTGTATTATTAATAATGTATTCCTATTGTGTAAAATAAGAAGGAAAGCCTTCCCTTCCTTCAGTTTCAAGAGCTTTTTGCTTAGAAATTTTAGGTTGAGTGGCTAATGTTCTTCCAGATGGGCATGATTTTTCTGTTTTCTTCTGTACAGAGTCAGAGGGTTAGTGGAACCAACTCAGAAGCTGTTTAACCCCTTGTTAGGAAAAGTCCCTGAGAGAAATAGATGAGAACTGTGCTGAGATCTTTAATTAAGCATGCTGTGTAAGAGAGGTAGGATTCAGTGAGAAAGGACTGGCACAATCTGAATTAGTCTTATTTCAAAAACTTCCATGGGATATTTAAAATGAGACATTTAAAGTTATTAGAAAATAAGAAAAAAGAGATATATTGCAATCATTAAAATCTCCTTCATCACAAGGCAAAGTGCACATCTTGTAAGCATTAATAGTTCAAACTTAGGTACTAGCCTTTTGAATGAGGTTTGCAAGACTTTCTAGCAATGACATACATCATGAATTTTATATTTGCTGAGTACCACATGAATAACCCACTGATTTCCGTGAGGCAGCTTTTCCCAGATGGGTTTATGGCATCTTGGCAGGAGATTTATTTCGTGTTCTCCCTGCAGTGAATTCACTATAGCCCAAGCACTTACTTCCTCCTGCTGGTGCCACAAGTATTCATTAAATCTCAGTTTCTTTATCACAAGAAACATTCAAATGCTGTATTATTTGTTATGATATAAACTTCACTACAGTGAAGTTCCATTGAATTTCTGGGCAGTTGAGATGTAAAAAATAGACATCCAAGCAGGGAAGAGCAGTAGAGGAATCATAGCAGGAATGCTGTAGTGCAAATATGTTAGTTCAAGTAGAGTTTGGAACTTGCACAGGTTTTTTTTCTGTTTGCTAATCATCAGAAAATACAAACTGCTATCGTAATAGACTTTTAAAAATAAAGAAACCACAATTTAGCTACCTAAATGAGCCATACCTCAAGATAATTAGATGCTGAGAATATCCACAGAGTTTAGGTAACCTTAGGAACTCATGTATGATTTAAAAAATAAGTTCAGGACTAAGTTCACTTAAACATTTTTTACTTGTTTTCTATCATTTTATAATTAACCTTATTAGGAGAAATGGTTGTACTAGTTTACAGATGTAGTATTGCCTAAGAAAATCCATGTACAGAGCACCATCTAGTGCGGGATATCACTAACATAAAGGCCTTTCAGCTCATATGTCACTTGTCTGGGTTTAGCTAATTTAATATGAACTATCGTGTTGCATAAAGTACCGGCCCAGGAGCTCCCATGGCAATATAATTTTGCAATTACATGACAGACCATCAATTGAAAATTATTTGTGATCTTTTGCAAGGAAAACAAAACTGGATGTACTGAAATTCATGTAATCATTTATGAGAGCCATTTACCTTTAGGAGGAATCTGCTTATCTTCCTGCCCATACTGTTGGTGATATATTCATTAAATAATTCAATCCAATCCATTTTTAATCTAGGTTGGACACTGATTCTCACAATAGATTTAGAGACCCAACAGCCATTTTAGGTGCCTTAAGACCACAGTTTAGCTGCTTGGAGCCTTTGCTCAGCCTCTGCAGAACCCCAGAGCTACCGAGGTTCCCTAAGCCGGGCAGTCGAGGTATGCAAGGCACAGCTAACAGGTCGTTAATCGGACTGCCATTAAGACAGGAAGAAAAAAAGAAAGAAGCTTGGATTCTGTAGGAGAGACAGGTAAAAGGAACTTATGCACAGATATTTATGACCTGTTGAGGAAGGACAGAAAAAAGTGAGCTACTTTGTTTCAAAGGCCATATTTTGGTTCTTCTGCAAGCCAACATATGAATTTGGCCCCAAGATTGTTTATTCAGTGTTTGTATATCAACATTTTGTTTCTGATGCAATCTATTTACCACTAGGATAGGATTAAGAGGAACTGTTTTAATTAACTGAAGATGTAGCAATGGCAAGCTGGATTTTGTCCTGCACTAAACAAACATTGAGATGGCCCTCAGATTCCCGGAAAAGAAGATTTTTGGATGAACACTGTGTATTCAACAAAAAACCAAGTAAGCATCAAAAAGCCACTATCACTAAAGTTTCATTCTTTTTGAAGAAGCACTTTACCTAACAAAATTTATAACTTCTCTCTCTGCACGTACCTTGCATATGGATTTTAGCTGAATGCTTGAAACCTTCCTGATTTCCCAATTCTCAGACCCTCTATGAGCAAAGAGCAAGCATATGCTCATATTAATTTAAAAGTACTTCCTGGTTTTGAATAGCTCCATTTTTGCTTTGTAAGTTGACCACTTAATAGACAAATAATTAAAAAAAAAAAGACAAATAAGTGGAAATTTTTCAAAATTTAGATACAAAATACTTCCCTGGATACTCTTTCTGCTCTTTCTACCTCTGTTACAACTGCCAAAGAGAACCTACTACTGAAGGAAAAGCTGCATTTTCATTCTTTTGAGCTAACGAGGAGTGAACTATAGGAACGTGACAGTAATGTTCACAGGCCTGGCAAGCTGTGGTTCAGATCCCCTTTCTGGGTAACCATTTCACTAATAGCAAGGAGAAGTAGCTTTGACAGAACAAAATGTTATACCTACAAAAGGAGTTCAAGAATTGGTGTCATGAATAACAGTTTTGGGAATGGTAGGGAGGGGTAGACTCTAGCTAAACAGTGGAGCTGAAGAGAAAACAGTAGGAAAACAGTAGGCCAAACTGCAGTATCTCAGCTCTGCCAATGCGTTCTAGATATTCTAGGGGAAAAAAATGCTGTAGCTTATAAGGCTCTTTTATTGCTTATTTAATTCACCTAGGATTGTGGTTTCCCTTCTTTTAATCTCCAATATGTTTAGCAAATGCAAGAAAACAGAAATAGAAATACAATACAAGAGTATTTCCTTTGAACAAATACTACAAAAAAATATGTTTCTGATTACATGGTGCTGGTAGCTATCATTATGTTCTTTATTAAATCATGACTGATAAAACATTTTCCTTGTTATCTTATTCTTCTTCTGTTGGGTTATATGATTTGTATCAAATAGTATGTATAAATTTTCAGCTATTTGGGAGTTATGTTGTTCTGTCTAACACCTGAACAAATAAACTGGTCTTTGTTATGCTGTCTTGTAAGAATAAAGACTACTTTAGAACATGTTTGTGCCTGTTGAGGAAATAAATTAATATGAACAGGCAAGCCTGGCAGAGAAAGGAATTCTCTTCCAAGCTTGTGTCTTGTCTGGTAGCTATTAAAACTTCCCTTTTGAAAATCAAGTGTTTCTTTATTTAAGAGCAATTATATGACCATTTTGAATTACAACACTTTCACGTGCTTTTCATGTGGCCAGAAAGATTTATTGCACAAAGAAAGGCCATAGAAAGATGGTGAAATTAACTACAATATTTGTATGTTGCTAACAGTATGCTAGATGCTTCCTTGTTCTGAAGAACATTCAGTCCAAATAAACATATAAATGCATTATAAGATGTTCAAAGAAAGATTTGATTCTCCTTCATTTTACGATTTCCAGTATAGAAAGGTAGTGAAATTTTACATCATCATCAGATGTCAAAAGCACCCTAGCTCAGCTGAAAGATTTCATTAGTGTTCTAATAAATAAAGAGGATGGATTTATTCTGGAGTACATAAAAAAAAAATTACTGTAGATTTTATGAGAACAATTTGTACATGTTGAGGGGCTTCTTTGTGTGTGCTAGAGATCCAACTTTGCTGTACGTAAATCCTCCATGTCGTTTATTTAGGTGGAATATGATCTGGCTTGATGCTCTCCAGATTCATGAGTTAATATTTCCATTTTCTTGTGAAAAACTAAACGGATTTTTATACATTTTCTATATAATGGCATTCCGGTTTTTTCCAAATAATTAAAGGTTTCTCCTCTTAGAGTAGCAAAAGAATGTGAAAATCACTATGGGAGATTCTATACTTACAACATCTTTTTTAGCTACTCCAAAACTTCCATTACCTTATTAATAACTCATACCTACAGACATACTCACAGTTACATAGGAATCAATTTTAAGTGCTATAATAAAATTGGATAAAAATACTTTACCAGATTTTCTGTTTTAATGTTGAATCTCTCTCTCCCTCTCTCTCACCATGCACACACCCACATAGGGAGGCATGCCTTCCTGTCAGATACAGGATTTAATATGGTGTAACTAACAAAACAAAGTTCAAAATGAGCAGTTGTAGAGCTGTTCACTGGTCCTCTCATGCAGGGATAGAGGCTAGAAGTCTCTAGCACATTATCTATTGATACATAAAGAAAAAGACTGGATTATATAGAATACCTGCTACTAACACAAAAGGCAGAGACCTCAAAAACTCTATACTGCCAAATTTTATCAGCACAATTTTTACATTATAGCATGCTTTTTAGCTGCCTGAATTCTCTTTTTTTGCTACTTAATTCCTTTTTTTTTGTTTAGATCTAATCTGATTTATCTTATTAAATCAGATTTTTTCATACGAACCTCTCTTTTTTCTCTCCAGTTGTTCTGAAGATCCTCCTTCCCTTATTCCATGCAGAGAACCCTTTCAAGGGTTCTTTACAAACTTTTGTTTTGGGAGGATGAAGATGGAAGGAAAAATGGCTATGCAGAGAGTTACCATTCAGCTGACCTGTATTCTGATCAATGTAGTTATAAACTGACTGACATATTGCCAAGAGTTAGTTTCAATTATGTTAAGCGTGACTGAAAGTGGCTGCCACATTCAAAAACTGTATTTGGACAGAGGGGGAGAGAGTGGCAGTACAACCACAAAAGCAAAATTTTTTTAAGAAAGCAAGCTTAGATCCTTTTTGGTTTTTGGAAATCGTCACTTGCATCTGCCCAGCAGAATTGGATTACATTTCATGAGAGAGCTTTCCTATTTTCCTATCTTCTCCATGGCAGCAAGCACTAATCAGCAACTCTTGTTATTGCTGGCTGTTGGAGTCTATTGTAGTACTAGGCACAAAAGCCAGGGTTAGGCAGAGTCTCTCATTATTTTTCTTGTAAAAGAAAAATGTGGATCTGCAGCTTTGAGAAGGAGGAAAGCCCAGAGAGCCTAGAGAAGTACATAGGAAAAGGAGAAGCAGAACCACTTTGATGTGACTGAACAGGACATTCAAATTTAGAGAGTTGTGGAGTCTAACAGATAAAACAAAGAAAGTAGATATTTATAGTGTCAAGCACTAAGAACCTCTAAAATGACACTTCTCTCTACATGTGCATTGTGTTCAAAGCTTAGCTCACATTAACATTAGTTGCAGCTTTTGTTAAACTCCACATGTCAATATATTAAAGTCCTTTATTTTTTTTATTAAAAAAAGGGCATAATGGTTACCAAGAAGACGAAAAGCATAATTACTGACCATCTAGAAATGTTAGATTGAAATGATGTGACCAGCCCTAGGAATGCTTCAGCAACAACAGACAATCCACTTCTCTATGCTGGATCCAATTGATTCTAGCCTGGTAGCATCCCTTCTCTTTCTTCAGTTTCCTGCCTCATTCCTTATACCTTTTTGTGCATGCTATGTACACAACACATGCAACAAATACACTAGAGGAATTTACAGGAAATTCACTTCTAAAGTCTTGAACCATTCCAAAGCAAGTATGTTTCATCCACTGAGCAAACCTTATGCTTCTATTTGAATAGGTTTTTTACTGCAGTAAGTACAATTAATTTTCATTTTTGGGTCAACACCGTAACAATAATGTTGGTTTTTAAAGGTGAAAGGATTTGTAGTTACTGTAAAGCAAAAAATTCTCCATCTTGATGATGTCCTTATTCCTAGATGAATGCTTGCCATTTTTAAAAAAACCCTGTACACATATTAGCATTAGTATTGTATCTAAAGATTCATAGGCCAGACTGTCTTCTCACATCTCATAAAACTACTAGTTGCAGAGGAATTATTGCAAATTTATATATGCGTAGATGAGAAGCAAAAATCGGCCTATCTGTTTTAATTTGGAATAATTTCCTAAGAGATTAACTAGGTGAATCGTCTTAATAAAATACTTAAACAATATTTAGTTCAAAATCTGCTGGTCTGACCTTCATGACAACGGATTTTAGGGAGTACCACCACCCATGCCAGGAGTACCAAACAATCCCGTTGTCTGTCTTGGCAGTGTAGGGTCCTCTGTAGTACAAACCGTTCAGGTTGGCAGAGTGACACCTGGTGGGAAAGTAAGGGGAAAAAACAATGAGGCTTCTGCCAAAAAGTTTCAGGAATGTGTCATTTCTGTGCGAGTCAAAAATTTTGCCATGTTTGTCAAAAGCTTAGTTTGACAGTTGCACGAATTTGCATTTGTGGACTTCTGTGAGCCTAAACAACAGTGGTTTAATTAGGGCACAACTGCAAGTGTTCTTCACTTCCTTAAAACAAAAGTTCTGCTTGTTCCTTTCACATGTTTTCTGACATTACTAGCTCTTGGAGTTTTTCCTGTGAATCTGCTTCAGTGGAGAATTATTCCAGAGATGTTCAGGCCATGGATGACAGCAGAGCATACACCAAGAAAAACTCTGGGAAATAAATCCTATTCTGGTTTTTGTTGTTCCAGAGTAGCTCCCCTCAAGTTTTCCAGTTACACCACAAGGTGTTTTGTATGCCAAAACCTGAATACCACTATCAGTTTGTCTATTCACCTGTGGACTTCTATTCACAAATAGATGAAATCTGAACGCTAATTAAAAATATGTATACCAACTCACTGGATCATTGGAATTGGCACTTTATTTGATTATACAAAGTACATTTTTTTGGTTCTTTAACAGGCTGAGGCAGCAATGCTGTTACAGTTTATTAAATACAGTGGTCGAAACAAACAAAGAAAAAATCCTATCAAACCCTCAAAGGCTTGAATAAGAACCGGCACAAGCTTGATACTGATTTGGTCTCTACAAGAAAGAAATTTAGATCTCTATGGAGAGCAAACTGACTGTTCCTTCTGCAGCACGTTGTGATGGATCAGCTTGGTTTATCTGCCAATTCAGTATTTCATTATTAGTGCTGTTAATATTTAGCTGTCAAACCATGATGGATTCCAAAAGCAGACTTCAGATAATACACAAACAGAAAACATTCCAAATTAACCTTATGAATATTATTACTGGCAAATCTTAGTCTTTTTGGCATTGCTTACACTTCATTAACAAAGTTTTTGAGAAATAAAAACTGTCATAAAAGCCCTATGGGAAAATTCTCATCTATATATGCTATTTTATTGTTTAAAATTTTGAAGCTCAATTTTGATAATGTGTTAGTTGAAAGCTTATAATTTGTGGACATCAAAAGTGGCTTTGTTTTTGAGAATGACAAACTTGTATCAGAGGTGACATAATCTTTCTAACCATACAAATTCTGCAATGAGCAGGCATTCTGTCTACTTTGAATCAAAACACAGAATTCATTAGAAGAATCATAAGCAAGCAAACCGTAATTTGTCAACAGCAACATGAGCCAGTGAAAAGCCTTAATTAGTGCTAGGAAGCACTAATGGCCAAAATATACAGTATTCACTAACCAACTGGATGCTGCCTGAAGTAACTGGACATACTAAATTAACAATTGCCATGTGATTATTGATATGACATTGTGAAGCAACATTCATTATTCACAAGTCAATAAATACCTTAAAGTTAGCCTATGTTTCTCCTTTCTTTCCCATAGGTTAATTTTAAAGTAAGAAACTACCATAGTTTCAAAAGTACAGTCAACTCTGAACTACCCATGGACATTTTATCTGAATTATATATTAATGATATGACAGATGCAGAGAAATGGAGTTTGTTCCCTGAAGAACTTTTTGAATTCTGTCTGGGTTTACTGACTCCTCTAAGGCCCCACATGAATGTAGCTATGCTGTCTCTGGGATGATTGGTGAGCCAGGCAGCTTGAGTTAGTGAGATCTATGGCCCCAAGTTATTGCCTGACAGATCCACTATTATCATCCATGCATGGTGTAACTAAAACTGTGAGTGCTGGGGGGAGATAAGATCATGCCCAACTAGAACTGTTAGCTCTCCTTTCACTAGTTATGAACCTACTGACCTTTGCAACACCCTAGATGCAGGAAATCTTATGACCTGGGTGTAGTACCGGCTCTGTGGATTTGCATTCAAGATGAAAATCTCTCCTAGAGCTTTGCTTACAAAAGGATGCAGAGGGACCATTTTTCTGCAGAAGTTCAGGATAACAAATTCTGAGCTGGAGCAAAACTGGTAACTTTAGATCTGAGCTACTTTTGTGAAGCCTCACTTGTGTCCTGTCCCTTGGTTTTCATATTATTTGGGCTTTTCTGTATTTCATTAGTCCAGATAGCATAGACTTGGCTATAAACAATTCCTTCATAGCTGGGAGCTCCTATATAAACCAGCCAAGAGCACTAATTCCTTCTATGTTTGTTAATCTGTGCATGACAAATACGTGTTTCTGAGTGCTTTCCTTTCTCTGCCAGTACTGTTCTTTTGAATAGGATTTCATGATACTTCTTCTAGTATTTTGCAGTTTTCAGTTTTATGTTAGGTTTAACATAAAAAAGTTAATAGCAAGACAGTGAAATAAAACTATTAGTAACTCATATTCATTATCCAGATAGACTGTCACTTTAAGAGCATTAACTACACAACCATAATAGGAACTAGCCTAGCAGGAGTCAGCTATCTTTAGTAGTTGTGTAGTACCAGCTACAAGGTATAAATAACTGTCAAGTTCTGCTGTACAGCTTCTTTTGCAAAGGGGTCATTCTTTTGTCCAAATCAATCCAATATTAAAAAAAAGTTTTTAAAAAATAAAAAATTGTATGCAGTGGTCTGATATCAGTTTAATGCTACTTGAGGTCTAAATATTCCTTTAAATCGTCAAAAGTTCTGATTTCATGTGAAAAGAATCTCCAGCATAGTTGTCTTTCCCTTTTATATGTTAGCTTTCCTGAGAAATCAAAAAAACCCCTTGTCTACATGTGGCTTTTTGCCGTAGGTCTCAAACACTCTGCTGGCACACTATCCATGCAAATATATTAAACTGTACTAAAATAAGTAGTCAATTGTGAAACATTTAGTTAACAGCTACATCATATCAGCTAAGGTGGTCACAGACACTACTTATGGAATCAGAATTTGGAAAATAAGGAGTTAACAGAAACAAATGATGACACAACAGAAACAATGGAGTTGATCCAGCTTGGCAGTTCTTGCCAAGTGAACTGAGATCACAGTGAGAGAGTAGTATGCTTCCCTGAGCTGTATTTTAAACCTATTACACAGTGAGATTGCATAGTTTCTCTTCATGGCTATATTTATCCAGTTAATTACGGGAAAGAACATAGCTGATCTGTACAGACTGTGCTAAGGCTACCCATTTTTAATTTTTGAATTGGTATTCTGCATGTAAGTAGAGTTTTAAAATTCTTTCACTGAACCCTATTTAAAAAAATCTTTGTCTCAGTCCATCCATACTTACTGACAGAAATTGAATGGACACATTACCATCTTCGTATAGAAGGAATAACAAGAGTGAGATGCTGTGAACTGAGGTGAAAAAAATGAGTCTTGATAACCTGGCATTAGTTTATCTCGTCAGATATTTTTCAGCACTGCCACATCTGGTCTAGTGCAATGCAGGAAAAATGCAAGAATGAAGCACAACAGGGATACATCTGCAAACTCTACATGACCTACTTGTGTAAAAACTAGTTACCTTAAAGAGGCAGAATTATCTCCTCCTTACTGCCTGATAACAAAGATGACCTACTGCAAATACCATTATCACAGAGACCTGTGCAGTAGGTGCTGTCCCTTCTGCAGTGAGTCTCAGTCTTACCAGCACTGAGATCTCTGGTAGGAGACGGGGGCACATTGCAAATAAATAAACAATGTCAATCCTATCTTCTACCATATGTTATTATTGTCTGAGTATGCACGAAGCAGAATAGTTGACAGTAACTGTATAAAATCAAAGTACCTGTTAAACCACCAGCCAGCCTTTTCCTCTTCAGCACAGTTACCTTCATAGTTGTCATTATCCCTGTCTCTAGTACTGAATTTCATTCCTCGATGATCAGCCCACCATTTTACTTCAGGATGAAATCCACCAGTAAGGGAATCACCAGCTGTACCAGAGTATTCACCACAGCTCATCTCATAAGAATGCTAATGAAAAATGTGAAGAAAGGAAAAAAAATTAAATTCCAATATGTTTTTGGCCCTTAGCATATCAGAGAGTGAAACCACAAAGAGGAAAATAATCTGATCAATTTGCTACTATTTTTATGCTAAGAAATATCATGCCACTTAAATACTGTGTACTAGATAATGAAGTGCTGTAAAGATGCTTACCAGGGGTAAAATTTGTCATTAACTTTACGTATAAATGACATAATAAAAAACAATATTAAGGTGAGTTTGCAATATACATTACAAATCAAAATGTTATGTACCATTACTATTGGTAGTGTCAACAAAAGTAGAAAAACTGTTTTTATCCATGGCTGCTAAATCAAATTATACATGTATTTTACAGAAAGTGTAAAATTAATGTATCAGGGTAAACCACTGTTATTGCATCCTTGAAAATTATAAGCATGTGTAAGAAAGAAAATATAATAAGGTTCTACACAAACCCTCATGAAAATTAGGGAACGTGTATGTTTATTGTTGGTCTACAGAATCCACATTTTTATTAAAATCTCCAGTAATTTAATATTTTATTACCTCCTCTCCTGCAACTCTGAATCTTGCATATTGTGCAAAACGCCGTTCTCCTTCAAAATCAGTTAGATCAATTCTTAAAGTATAATTCCCTTGAAAAATAACAACAAAAATTATTTTAGTTAAACTAGCTTCTCTCACTACTTTTCAGAACTATTATAGTAGAAAATTAAAATATGTTTTTATCATGAACCTTTATCACCACAGCATATTTCATGGGGTTTTGTCTTCTTTCTTTATTCATTGTCTTTATTCACCTGAGTCAGCTAAGAAAAATTTTAGAATTATTCCAATACAGATTTTCAAATGTAGAAAATTAAAAATCTAATGAAAAAGGCCTTATGGACTTTATATTTCAGTAAGGTATTTGAGGTGGAAATAAAAAGATAGTGAGAAACAATCAATAAACATTCTCCTAAGAAAATTAGATTTTTATACTCTGAAAATAAGAGTTATACTACGATCACATCATGGTGGCACTGATTCCCATATGATTTAGCTGACTAAGCCAATGGGTAAGTTTTGTATATGCATCATTCTACAACAAAGCCAAAGTTAGCTTAGATTGAGTGACTTTTAGAAAGATGGGAATAGCTTTCTACACCTGGTCTGATCAACAGGACTGGCCTAGAATTACCTTCACATAATAGCCCACACAGCCACATAAAGCCCTGACTGAATGAACAGGTACAGCATACTACCTGACTGGACTGGTAGTGATGCTGACTGCAAAACAGATAGAGAGAATTCTTTCCTGTCTAGTGTGTCCTGTTTCATGGAAGCTCTCTGCATGCCATTGGCCCAATGACAGTTTTGAACCTTTTGTTAGAAAACATATGTTCAGGTGTGTTTTGTTCTGAAACTTGGAGAAGTCCATGCAGACTAACGAGAACTCAGGATTTATGATAACAAAAAGGGTAACAAAAAATGGCTCAGAAAGAGCAAAGAAACAGAAACTATAAGACTATTGTTATAATACAAATCTTACCTTGATTAGTCAAATAATGAAGATTTTTATTTCCAAGCCAATATTCACCATTTTTCAAAACAAAATTTCCAAAGCCTTCTTCATAGTCAGCCCAGACTCTGAAAAGAGTATAAATCATTAATTTATCAAAAAAGCAAGTTTGTTTGGATGTTTATTATACAGTTATAGATCACAGAATAATGCAAACTGGAAGGAACCTTGAGAGGCAATCTAGCCCAATGTCATGCTCCAGGCAGAGTCAGCCATGAGATCAGACCAGGTTGCTCAGAGTTTGTCCAGAAACTTCCAGAGATGGAGACTGCACATTCTCTTTGGATAACCTGCTGACTGTTCTCACAGTGAAACAGTTTCTCCTTACATCCAATCTGAACCTCTCTTGTTTCAGTTTAACAGCTCAGTCCAATCTCTGGTATAGCACAATTTATCTGATGTGAAGACATTTTTCCTGGTTAAATCTAAGGGATCGTGTAGGTGTCTCACAGGCATTGTTTCTTTATTATCTGTGATTTGATTAAGGTGTGAAACTCCTGCAGCTGGATATATAAATTTGTAACTTGAGGTATTAGCTAGCCATTTCTAGCTTTGAGTTATTAACAGATTCTAAAAATTTTTGAACTCAATACTGGTGCATAGTTGCAAGAATTAATGTGTATACATTTCCCTGCCTACAGTGGCTCTGAAACTCTTAGTGGTTTTAGTTTCATGACATGTTCTAATGGGAACAGAAATATCATATGTTTCCTGTATCAGAAGCAACCTACTTCAGCAATGGATGAAAGGCTGTGGACAGGCAGCCATAAGGAAGAGAAGCCCCTACGACTTTAGCAGCTGGTAGTCTCTGGAAAGGGAAAAGAATAGGTGGTGTGTGGTGGTAATAATTGCAAAATGCTACAGATTGCTTCTGTAGCTTGTCTGACCATATTTTGTAAAATAGAAGTTTTCTTGGCTCACAAGTGGCTTGTTTTTGTGGTTCACAGGGCCAAAGTTTTCACTTCTGGACATTTCCCAAAAAATGTGTGAGTCTTGGCAAAGGCAAGGAGGTTAGTTGTCCACAAATCAAGTTCTCAACCATTTTATTTTTCCTGGAGGCATTTTGTCATGAGCTACAAATTACTTTTGTGGTGTGTTTCTCTCATACTTGCTTGCTGATGGCATTTTGGTTCAAGCAGATTGCTTGCATTTTTACATTTTTAGATGTTTACTGTTTGCAAAAGACAAGGTAGTCCTTTACTCGTCATTAAGAGTCCTTGCTCCAACAATTGTTAATGCATTTGACATTGAAGTGTCCTCATGTAAAATGGACAAGTTGTCAGAAAAAGGCTAACAGAGATGTCTCATAGAAAACAGCCAGAGCCAGAAGTGGTATCTCATCTGGAGGCTGTCCCACAGAATAACCATTCCTCCCTTTTATCTGGGATAACAACCTATTAATATACTTCTAGAGTTCTGATTTAACTTTCCTCCATCTGGTTTAATGATTCTCCACTTAGTTTCCAATTTTAATGACCAAGTCTAGTACCTACCTATCAAAATTCTGGCTGCCATCTGATCGTCTCTGAAAAACAGTCCAACCACCTCCTTCAGACATGTCACAGAAGGCAAGGAACTCAGTAGGACTCTGGATAGGTTTCATCTTATAAAATCCACTTTGCTTATGGCCATCATTGTAGATTTCTGCGCAATCTGTTCACAAAACATTGATTGGACACAACTTTTTTAGTTTTGTACTTAATGGCAAAATGAGAAGTCAATAGAGATAATCAAGTCATGTCATGTAGAAGTCACATATGAACGAGACTAATAAAAAAATATATTTGCAAACACATTTCATTGACTTTTGGGCATTTTCTTGCATTTGTGTTGCTTTATGAGCATAAAGCAATATTTATTGTTGTAATTATTTTGACATTTCATTAAAAGAATATTTTTTCCACCATAAAATATTATAATTTTTGTTTTCATTTGCCTAGCAAAATAATTCCTCCATTTTAAGTGGTGTCACTTCTAATTTACAGTGTATGATCCACATTAGAATCCTGCTTCCAGCATAAAATTATGTATAAGACACATGGTAACCTTCGAAAATAAACATGTACATCTATGTCCAGAAAGTTCACAGCAGAACTGCCAAAAACAAGAGTATGAGTCTCCAGTGTTAGAAAACAGAAACAATTGCTGGGCCTGATTCTCTTGTCCTTTCAACCAAATAGATGCAAAAATATATAGAATACTACTCCCAAAAAGTGCAGTGTATGGTTAAAATGATAGCACTGCAACTTGATACCAGTTACAGTCTGGCCTGCATTGCTGTTGATGAATATCATTTACAACAATCACAAAATCCAGAGCTCATGGAAATATTGCAGCAATGTAATTTTATAATTTTATATTTTTTCCTCTAGGATTTAAGAAATGAAAGGAGTTCTTTGTTTATATGTAATCTACCATTAAACTGTCATACAGGAAAGACGTATGATTTTCAGCATTTCTGCTTTTCCTGGCTAAGGTAGAGCTGATTAACTTTATGGCATTCTCTGAAACATTTATGAATATGTTGGCTGAACTTCCAGGCCTTGTTGGAATTTTCTGAACTATTATATTTCTTGTCAGTGAAAGTGTCAGCGAAGATTAGACATAGAAAATAAACACTTTATACTGAAAACAAATAGCTATGCCAGGATTTGAATAAATTCTAATAGAAAACATGATTTAAATAACAGCTAAGTTGTCTTTCTAGCAAATGTTTGATTGGCTTACATGAAAATAGCTTTTCTTATCCATTAATTTCTTGTGCAAAACACAAGCATATTTTAATGTTTAGCAGTTGTATATAGTGTGGAATTTCTCCCTCACTATCTAACTCAAATTATCCAGCTCTCTTGATATTAAAATGCTACAGCAGTTTAAGTGAAATAATGCAGTATGAACAGGAAAAAGCATTTCCCAAGCTATAAGGAAAGTGAAGAACTAATGGGGGAAAAAATCATCAGAAATGGGAACAAGTTACATCTGTTATTTAGAGTAACATTTTCAGAAAATAAACTGAGGCATGTGCTAAGAAAATGCAAATGCCTTTCAGAGAAATGTAGGTTTAATAATCTTTTCCAGTAACAAATGAGTCAGCCATGATAATATTTTTTAAAAAGTATTCCAGGATGCTGAGTACATAAATAAATACATAGCTAAAATTTAAAATCAGACTTACAACTGCTTTTAATTTAAATTTAATGGTGCTTTGTTATATTTGATGCCTTGTTATATGTTGTGATTTCTTCCAGCAGCACAAACACTAGAAGTATATTCAAACAAGGCTTTTAAAAATAATAGCAGTTTAGGCTTTCTAGAACTGGAAAATAAGAAATGAACACCATCCAGGAATCAGTTGTAATTTCAATCCAACTGTTGTTTTGGATAGTGTTTTATTATTTTAAGAGTTTGGCCTCACTGCAGCTGTTACAAGACAACACTTAGCTTTGTAGAGGGAGCAGATCACCACCACAATGCTGGTGAGAATATAAAAACAACTTTAAACCAGTATTTTAGAAGCTGTGATGTCATGAGCTGAATCTAACTCAGTCAAAATGGGGCCACACACAGAATGTTATTAAAGTGAGATGCAGGTGTCATTATGCCAGGCTTATGTGTGTAAATATGTATGTCTCAGGAATTTTACAGATTGGAAGAGCTGCTGTGTGCTTGTAACCCAGGAGACCATTTGAATGTGTGAATGTGAACTGACCCTGTGGGTTAGAACTTTTTGAGATTAGTCAAAGAACAGTGTTTAGCAATCTGTAACTTCTGATTAACATTTTGTAAATGTCTATTATTGACTTTTTTCCCGTTTTATGGCTGATATTTATGCTTAATTTATTGTTCACTGATTGTTTTTAAATTATGCACTATTAATAAATCAATAAACTATTTCAATCTTGATTTGATTTATACCATCTGGTATTAACAATCTTTCCCTGCCTAGAAGGTCTAGGTAAAAGCTGAACACTGTGTTTTAAACAATTATTCTATGATGAGCTTTTAAAACAATAAGTCAATGGGCCCAATTGTGCTAAAGCTTCTGTGTATCAGTACTCATGGAAATGAAAAGAATAGCTTCATTTCTAACCTGAATACTGCCTTTTTCCTCCCAAGTCAATGACACTGTTTTCATCTCCTCTGTCACTGTACTGAATCTCTTTCTTCTCTAAAAGCTGCATAATTTTTAACTGCTGCTGTTTCACACGATGCTCCAGAAGCCTCACCTGGCCCTGAAGTTGTATCTGCTCTTGAAAACATTTCTGTAAATCCTAGAGAGGAAAACATATCTTACTGTAAAATCAACAAATTTTTGTGAAATTTAACACATGACACAAAAAGCCAACCAAAAACCCCCCACAAATAAAATTTAACTTGAATAAAACATTTTGGTCACAATTTCCTACAGACACTATGTTGACTTCCACCTCATGTGATACCTTTTGATAAAATTATTTCATATATTACAGAGTGTAATATATGAAATATATATTAAGAACACATACTTGTTTTGCAAAGAGACTTTCTCTTTAGTGCTTATAACTACCAGCTCTCACTGCAAACATGGAGAGGGGACTTTAGGGAAAAACACTATATTACAGACTCTATCATAAGGATGGCTTATTCTCTATCACCTGCCATCCACAGAGATTTGCTATCCAGTGAAGCCTGCTACTGACATCGTGATGGTTCTGGAATCTTAAAGAAATGCAACCCATACTGCTTATGATAAAAACCTTAACATTGCAAACATAAATATTTTAAAGTTTTAAGATAATTTTTGGCATGCTAAAATAAATAGTCCCTAAGAAGCTGTGAATATGCATGAAAAATTAAAGTTAAAACTTAAAGTGAATATTGCGAGAAATGTGATAAAGAGGCCATCATGCCACACTTACCAGTTTTAGTGCAGTGTTTGTTTATTGAGAAGGTTAGACTGTATCAGTCTTAACTCAGTACACACAACCTTGGAGAAACCGGTAAAGTACAATAGGAAAGACCTGGAAATGGTGGCCCTGGTTTCCAAGACCTTGTAATTTCATAGCAAGGCTTCAGGCGGGTTGCCTCTTTGACATATGGCAAGATCTGAGCCACCAAGAGCTACCTTCCCTTCTGGAGAGAGCAAGAGACTGTGAATTTGAGAAGAGGCAGCTACAGGTAACTAAATGTGTTTCTTTCGGGTACTGTAGAAGTTCATCTATCAGTTCCCCTATTCATACTGCTAAAAACTATTCTCCAAATGTGATTAAATTATGTAGTACAAGTATAGAACTTCTCAAAAAATATTATCATACCTTAGGAAAACTTGATATCTAAATTTTGTATGACACTATTTTATATATCACTATAAAAGGTCCTTTCCTTTGAACCAAATTAAACTCAAATCTGCAACAGGCTTCATCTAAATATTATTCTTAAATGTGCATTTAAAATGGATCTTTTTTATTGTTTACTTAAAAAATTGTGAATTAATATATCTACATTACACATAGCAATTTCCTGATTAAAAAGGATTTAAGCTCACAGTGCCTAGGAAGTGGCAAGCCAGAAATGACTAGCTATACTGAATAACTACACCATAAGAACAAAATGATTACGCAGAAATCAAGTTTTGAAAGTAACCTTCATGTGAAAAGTACTGGTATCTGACACTTTGCTTTCTCTCCCTGACTTCAGCCTCCTCATTGGTGTCTCTCTCTGTCAACTCCAGACAAATCCCATTACACTTTGCTGCTGGACAGCAAAACCACAGGTCTCATGCTTGGAATTCCACACCTAATTTTTCCTGTGGGACAATCACAGGGTAGCTGTGTAACCTCAAGGTGGATCAATGTGGCTTTTAGATCTGCAGGTTATCAAACTGTTCTTTTAATGTTCTATGACACTTTTTTTTCACAGGATAACTCTTTTAAAATCACTGGAGTTAAACTAGTGCACAGCTAGAGTAACACAAAAGCACAATGTAACTTAGGGTTATAAGTCAACAGCTATAACACATCGCTATTCCTTTTGTTAGATATGGACCAAAGTTAAACTATTACAATATTGAAATACTCAACAAAATATGAATTTCTTTGTGACTGTCTCCAGTGGACAGTGCTGCCCACTGCTAGAAACCAGACTGAACACAATCTGTTCTGCCTGTTTCAGTGAAGCAACTGTTTGCACTACACACTGAGAAGCAATTATCTAACAACTGCTGACAGCTCTTGGGCACATGGTCCCATGTTTAACCAGCTGCTGTAATTAATGTGCCTTCATTTCCATTATTGTGTGGATTATTTAGCAGCTAGTGACCTTCCATTAAAATTAATGCTACAAATTAGACTCAGAATACTTTATGAAAGCTATAAAAATACAAAGGTTTTACTTGGGGTGTTATTTCCTATATTTTTAGAATATAAACTAGCTCTAAAATATCTCTCTACTGAGACTAGTGTTTTAATGAGATTAAAATGTGAAAACAGAGGTAAACTTCAGAATGTTCCCAGTTTTTACTCACAAGATCAGCTAAAGCCCACAACATTCCAAATGAAAAATAATTTTTTAAAAAAAGTAAATGCATTTAACTGGAAAACCTTTTTTTCTCAGTAGGGTTCTGTAAAAATTATATTTTTCTCCACTGAGCAGAAGTGATTACAGAGGAGTTGCTTTTTATTCTGTCTTTATTTATTTATTCTGTCTCTATAAAGCTACTTGTCTGAACAGAAGTTTTCCATAAGGTAATGTAAGCTACAAACAATGATGCTTATCTAGTTCTACATTCAGCAACCACTTCCACCTAGGCAATTATGAATCAACAGTATAATCTCTTTAGGTCTCTTTAGGACCTGAATATCAAACTAGGAAGGACAGCCAAGACAGGCAGTACAGGGTTGGTGAGGTTGGAGGGATTTTAAACAGCAGAGTAAGTGTGATTTTGTTAGGCTTTTTGTTGGAGAGGCAGAATACATAGCAGAAGGGTTTGGGAGCTAGAAGTGAGTTTTGATCATTGATTCTGAGTGTGAATTATAATCCAATTACATGGGAACAAGTAAGAATACGAAGCTATGGATCTTGTTTGAGAAAAAATTGTATGGCAAGTGGACAAGGTAGAGAAGGACAGAAACATTTTTCCTCCAGAAACACTACTGCTGCAGCCACTGCTTTAGGAGTTCCTGGGTTTTGCCTTTCTGTAAGTATGCTGCTCAAAACTAAAGGTGTTATTCGGAGTTAGCATTACCCCTGAATGGTAGCGTAACCACTTTGTGTGCCTTCTGTACAACGTGCCTCAATGCACCATGTGATACCTTTTTTAGCAAAGGTACATCACCTCCTGTTTCACATCAGATCCAGTCACAAACTGACTCGATTTCTTTCTTCACTGGCCATTGCCCAGTGATTTATCTTCCGTTGTATATTTACGCATTTGTTTCCTCTTTCCTTATTGGAAACTTGTCCCCACTGAACATCATTTGAGGTTATTTCCCCATTCTTTCATTTTTGCTATGAATTGTAATATTTTCCATCAAAGGTTCTGCCATCCCATGTAGATGAGATGCATTGTGAGTGCTGTGGAGGACAAGGTATGCAATATTTAGAAGAAACTCTATAGACAGATTTAATTACTGGAACTTACAGAGCTGTCAATGGCATCCATCAAGCTAGCTGCAAGGACAAAATCAATCATTATCAAAATCTTCATTTTGGAAGCTGTGAAGTAGAGGAAAAAATGAAATAGTAGTTAACTTAAACATTGAAATTAATATTTACACTTGACATCTTAAATTTTATTCAGAAAAGTCTATTTAACCTATAATTCCTTTCTTTCAAATCATAAGGCTTCATTACAAATATCTAAAATAGTCTGATAAAATATGACTCCAAAATCCAGTAAAACTAGAATTTATCCTTTTAGGCCACTTTGTATCAGAGCTCTCCATGTATTTTAGAACAGCTATTCAAGATTCATACTCACATACTTTATTTTCCAGACAAAAGCAAAAAATGTTTTAAAATGAGCTGAAAAGCAGGTCAATATTCTTTGTTGGTCCTTTAAATTTGTGAGAAAGCTCTCTGGTATAAACTATTAATTAAAATCTGAATTCAGCTAGTTGTCCTTGAACTAAAGATTTGTGCAACTTTTGTGTGCCAGGAGAAGATCAAGATAATTCTACTGCTGTAGAGTAATTTGGGGGGAAAACGCATAATAGTTATCAACTTTTATTCTAATGGTTGCAAGGATGATATCTTTCAACTGATAGGTATGGATATTTTGTACTGTATGACCCACACCATTTTAAACCCCCTTGTTTCATATGAAAATTATTTTAAATGCTAAAACAACCACCATTGTATCTCACTGCCTTGCAAACATTAGCTGATAGAACTTCACAATTTTTTTGTAAGGTAGATGTGTGCTTTTCAGCTCACAGATGAGAAACCAAGGCCTCCAATTACTATAATATTTACATGGATATTCTGAATTAATTACTTATACTGTTGGAAGCTATCAACTGAGGAATGTTTCTTTTTGCTTTTAACTACAAATATTTTATTTCAGTATAGTCTAACACCTATTTAAATCAGAATATGTGCCCACTCTGCTTTTTCTGCTTATCAAACTGAATCAGCTAATTACATAGAATCATAGAGTCTTTAAGGAAAAGACCTCCAAGATCATCGAGTTCAAGCATTAACTTAACACTGACAGGTCCCCCTCTAAGCCACGTCCCTAAGCACCACATCTACATGTTTTTTGAATGCTTCCAGGGACAGTAACACATTAAAACATTTGTGGTTAGACAAAGTGTAAGTCCTATAATAGAGAGTAATGATTCAATGTCAGCATGTGCTTATTGAAACACCAACTTTACGAAAATTTTCACTCATGTTTCTACAGGAATTAATATAAACATGAGTGGAACTTTGGCAGACTGTGCTTTTTAATGTACAAAGATAAGCAGAAGTATGTTTCTAAGTCTGTAAAATTGGACAAGTCCAACTTTTATTTTCACCAATCTCTGAAAACCTCATGCAAGACTACAAATTACAGCCAAATTTCAGATTTCAACATCTACCTATAAAATACTTATGATGCTTTTTAAAATTACAGTTATTTAAGTAAGCAGCATCGGTTTGTTTTGTTTTAGTTTTTTTACATCTGAGATTTGCTGGTTTGAAAGCATCATATTTGAAAACATAGAGTTGTGAGGCCCAAGTGTATCTGTTTGAAACTCTTTATACCATGTCTTGCACAGAACTGGTGAAGACACAAAGTGTTTAGGGTACTGTGTAACCATTGACCCATGTTGCAAACAGCTCAGAAGTCCTTTTAAGCATTTTGGACATATACAACATCGACCATTAAGCTGCAAAGCTCTATACTAAGCTGATTTTTTTAGATTTCAAAGAAATCCATTAAAAATCACCTATAAAGTGTTTTTTTGAGTAAAAAGTGTGAACTGAAAATCTTAGGCTGTTATTTCTATTCCATAAAATTTCTGAATTTAAAGCTGTAAATTGTTCTTCATGCTAACCAAATAAATGTTATATCATTTGAATTAGAAACTTTACCAGAATTCAATGCAACAAGTTCTGATACTTTTTGAAGTGGTAAAGCCTATGAATTACAGGATTAAAAATAGGGGCCACTATCTGTGTGTGTGAGGAATCTGCAAGAATTGCCTGTCAATGAATTCTGTTATTTAAATTAGAGACGTTTCTGCCATGAGTATTGATCCTGTAGCCATTCACAATATGAGCTCACTATGATTGTAAGACAATTAAGAGTCTTTTAAAGGGGGAAGAGATGAGAGCTCCGTTTGGCAGATGTTTCAGTCAGAAACAGGGAAGATTGAAAGAGAAAGGACACAGGGTAAAAATACCAGAGTGGGTCTATAATAGGGTTGGGGAGACCAAAATCTGTGTGCCGTTCTTCTCCAAAAACGGGAGAAGGTCAAAAAGACTAGGAAGAGACCTGAAATCTCAGGCTCTGAGAGGAAAAGGGTAACCTAACAGTGTTTCTCTGCTTCTGTCACTGACCATCAGGGAGACCCAGACAAGGCAGAGGACAGTCAGCAGTGCTGATCCTGGACCTTGCACCTTTGAGCCAGTTTTTCAGCAGGTATAAACTCCTGTAGTATGTCTGATCTCCCAGTTGCAGTGACATGAGATTTGCTGAGTGGTCAATCCTACAGTGACAAGAAGGTGGTAAATAGAGTCAAGCCCCATACATTTTCAAAGCGCTTTGCATACACTACCCAAATCAAGAGGTTCAGTCATGGAATTAATGTGGGTAACAGTTTACTTAGTTTTCCACATTTCTAAAAAACGTTTCAGTAAAGGTTGTATTAGTAAGAAATCTCTGAAAGTGCATGTTTATGCTCTTTGGTAATATGTAAAGCTACAGTTCTGTTCAATGGAAGCTTAACATCTTCCTCTAGGAAGAGTCCTCTGAAAGTCGGTTTCTTAAACTAATTTCTTCATTTAATTAAATATTTGCCCTGGTTTACAGGTATTTGCTGACAAACATTAACACATAATGCAATAAAAAGCATTCACTGAAAAAACCTTCAAAAAAATTACAGATCTTAATCCAAGTCACAGATGAACTGAAAGAGTTAATAAGTGTTGAGACACTTTCAAGACTTTTGTTATAACACCTGTGTTGATTTAACAAAAAGAAAAAAAAATTGTGCAGGGGGTATCCCTTTCCACTAAAATCTTAATCTGAGACAGTAGACATGTGATAGAATGAGAAAATGAGAAAATAGAATGTGATAGAATGAGAAAAATCTGGTGTAATATTTTCAAGTTGAAAACATAAGCCCTTAGTGGTTAGCTGAAAAAAAAAATCACCATCTGTTTTAATAAAATGAAGTTGAAGGGCAACTCTTCTGAAACTTTGAAATATTTTCCATGAGGTTACTCATTTACTATGCAGAGATTACACCTGGAATGTGCATTTGCACAGCTGTGCAGAAATTTTTATTCAAAGCTATGGAATAAAAATTCTAGAAAGGTATCTTTTTACTTGTCCATGCCTGGGCTTTTTTTACAGGCTATGCAGATAATCAATCCTATGTTCAAATTTCCCCTAAATTTGATGTTTTTTTCCAAGTCTTTCAATAACAATCTGTTAAATAGATTTGATGATGATAAAGAAGTTCTGTGCTATAAAAATTCTGAACCGTCAGCATGTTGTTTTGTTTTTGAACTGTGGAGACGTCAAACTAGATGGAATACAGATGCCTGTTTCTGTTAGCACAGTGTCAGTAAGAATCATATTACTAATAAATACAATAAGAGACAATCTGCCAAAAGGATAGATAATGACTGGAAAGATTTTTGTTTTGCTTTCTTAAAATTCAAACTGGTTTTAATGATTAAACTCATGCACAAATTTGGGTTTTTTAAATTAAGTGGTGTTACAAAAGTTACCATGCTTTCCTCATCTGAAAAACGGACGATAATTAATGACTTGATTTACTTTTAGGTTTTAAAAGCAGCCTTGTCCATACAGCCATATACTAATATAAATTTAGAAACTACAGATTTGAATATTGGTTTTATTAACTATCTAGAAATGCAGGAAAATAGCTAGATCCCCGTAAAATATTCATACATCATTAACGACATTGCACCAGTTATATGGCCTTCAAAAACATTATTTTTAAACCATAACTATAGAAATAAGCCAAAATTCCTCCTTCTTCCCTCTCAGGTACCTTATATGTTTACCTTTAACTTCTGGACAGAACTCAAAGTTGTTAAATCTTCTTCGGCTGATGCAAAGAATTCCAGAGCCCTTCCCAAGCTGCGATTGTTTTTGCTATTAAATTCTGTAGAGTTGAGGCTTACATCTGCTATGAGTCACTGGGCTGGAATGTTACAGAGAAGCTGCAGTTATCAAGACTAAATTGCAACACAAGAAGGATATGATGGTAATTCTGAGCCTAACACAACACTTCCAAAATAAAACTAGACCAAAAATAACAAAGGATCATCCATTCCCTTTCACTGCTCTGATCCAGGAAATTGCTTTCTGCATCATATTCAGCCATATACTCCAGTACTTTCCACAATCAGAGCCTAAATCTCTTGGGCTTCAGATGTACATGGAGAGCATAACTGAATCAACGGATTTAGAAAAAAACCATAATCACTCAGACTAGAAATGACACATTAGAGGTGTAACATAAAAAGAAATCTGCTAAAAAAATCCAACCCAAAGTAACAAACATAATACAGACAAAGCCAAGGGCAACAAAAAGGACAAAGAATCTTGTTTGCTGTCAGTATTTTTTAGCTAAGGGACTCAGAAGCACATAATCTCAGTGACTTTGTTAAACAAAATCACTTTCTATATAAGCATTTTAGAGTCAGACAAATACATCCAAGAATGTTTTAAAATGCAGTTTGAGTTTTTGCCCTTCTTCTGTGTTGGCTCTTCCCAAAAAGTTCAGTAAATGAGTATGCTTAAAGGAATGCTCTGAAAGAAAAAAACTCTTAAGGAAATATTGAACAAAAGCAATAAAAGGAGCTTTACATTCCACAATACAAATATCATAGAATCATAGAACAGCTTGGGTTGGAAGGGATCTTAAAGATCATCTAGTTCTAACCCCTTTGCCATGGGCAGGGACACCTTCCACTAGACCAGGCTGCTCAAAGCCCTATCTAACCTGGCCTCAAACACATCCAAGGATGGGGCATCCACAACTTCCCTAGGCAATCTATTCCAGTGCCTCATCACTCTCACAGTAATCACTAATCTAAAAACCTAAGTAACCCTCTTCCTAATACCTAATCTAAACCTCCTCTCTTCCAGTTTGAAGCCATTCCCCTTTGTCCTGTCACTACATGCCCTTGTAATTAGTCTCTGTCCATTTTCTCGTAGGCTCCCTTCAGATACTTCCTTTTGAAGACTAATATTTGTTGCAAACTTCCTCAGAATAATTTCTGGTGCATTATTTGGAATCTGGTTACCTAGCAGTATTTGTCTTTCCTCATTACTTTATATCAATTAATTAAATTCATATTCTGAATTTCAAATATTTATTAATTGCAATAAATTACTCCTGAGTAGCCTACACTAAGAATTATTCAAAAATTCAAAATCATTCAGCGAGTCATTTTTGCTGAGAATCTTACCATCACTAATGACTTCTTCAAGGAGGAAGATACCTGTTCATAGCATGACTTTTAACCTATGGTTGCTCAGTGGGTGGGCTCTGAATTTAGAAAGTAGTAAAAAGGCATGGCATTTTAAACTTGGATTTATTAACCAATAAATAAATGAAATAAATAAAATAAGTTAAACAATTTATTGAGGGTTACAAATAGATTGTCCATCACTTGAAGTCTTTAAACAAAGACTACTAGATGGCTAAAACATATGACTGTGGTTCAATTAAACAAGAACTATATAGAGTGTCAAGTCAGAGATTATTCACAAGGTCTATAGGCTACCCATTATCAGAATGATTTTGTAAGAATAAACCTGCTTAGTAGAAGACTTTCAAAGAATACACAAATGGAAGTCATATAAGCACAAAAGGAAGTAAGAAAGGCCTCTCTGAAACCTCTTGGATACATCCAACACTGAACACTGGCAAATGTCATAGACCTTATTATGGCCAGTTAAAACCTGGATGTTCACATAGATCTTATTCAGATTTGCTCCTCCTGGGAGAGTCTGCACAGAAGTGAAGGAAAATATGGCAAGGGTCGTTAATTACTCTTCTATAATTTTTTTCACAGAATTATGTATAAAGGATAAAATGCTGTTTCTCACTTCTAAACAAAATCAAGATGTTTAGGACTTCCAATAAGCAAGGTAAAAACATTCAGTTGTATTAGATCCTTTTGTGGATATTTAAAAGAAATATCTAGCACAAGAAATCAGTGGTCTTTGTTCCCATTATATTAGCACTTTCAGGTGAGTATCTCCCTGGGTATTTTATTCTGACAGAAGTTTAACATTTTTGGATAATCCCAGACATGGCTATTGGCTGATGATGAGTAGGTTGAGCAGAGACCTGAAGAGATAGCCTTAGTGGATGAAAAACTAAATATGAGCCAGCAATGTGTCCTTCCAGCCCAGAAAACTAATTTTATCCTCGGCTGCTTCAAGAGACACATGGCCAGAACGTCAAGAGAGGTGATTCTGCCCCTCTACTCCACTCTCACAGTACCCCATCTGGAGTGCTGCATCCAGCTCATGGGCCCCCAGCACATGGATATGCTGAAGCAAGCCCAGAGGAGGCCACCAAGATGATCAGAGGGCTGAAGCACCTCTCCTACAAAGTCAGGATTAGAGAGCTGGGGTTGTGCAGCCTGGAGAAGAGAAGGCTCCAGGGAGATTTCATTGCAGGCTTCCAGTACCTAAAAAGAGCTTATGAGAAGGCTTATGAGAGAGACTTTTCCCAAGGACATGTACTAATAGGACAAGAGGTAATGGCTTTAAACTGCATAGTGATCATGTTTAGATTAGGTATTAGGAAGAAATTCTTTACTGTCAGGGTGGCCAGATATTGGAACAAGCTCCCCAGAGAAGTTGTGGATGCCGTGTCCCCGGAAGTTCAAGGCCAGGTTTAATGGGGCTCTAAGCAACCTGGTCTAGTGGAAGGTGTCCCTGCCTATGGCAGGGAGGTTGGAACTGGATTATCTTTAAGGTCCTTCCCTTCCAACCCAAACCATTCTATGATTGTAAAATCAGCAAACACAAGATAATGCATTCATAATATTCTTTTACCATTCAGGCTCAAAAGAAGTTGTAAGCACATAAGAAGCTTTCATAGTACAAGGAACCACCAATTTTTCCCTGCTAAGTTGTAAGACAGGTTTTAAATATAATCTATAAAATATAAAGCTTTACTTTTTTGTCAGGTGTATGATTTTTATTCAGGAAAGTTTTACATCACCTTCAGCTGTCATGTGGAAATATGGAAGTGTCAAAGATTGTACAACCACAACATGGTAACTGTGTGTTTGTCAAAATGTACTTTCATTCCATCTGCTACAAATTAATTTGTTTGTGCTTTTCTCTTCATTGTTTTCAGTTGTGTTATACTAAGAATAAAAGAGAAAACATGTAATAGACTTCACTGTAGGACTGGCTGAAATGACATATTTGAAAATGTGCATTCAGCACTGTACATCCAACATGATAACTGAACGGTCTTTCACATATGCTAAAGTGTAACAATAATAAATTGAAAATACTTGAAATAGAATATGATGCTTGGTCTTGTAACTTAGATGCTAGGCTTTTTTTTCCCTGAGGGAAAAAAGCAAGCAAGCAAAAAGCAAACAAACCCCCAAACCCATCCTGACCAACTCCATCAAAATCATGATGTCTGAGTAAATTTACCTTTGAGTTTTTTAAATTTTTTAACATATGAAGTAATAATAATGTGTCACTTCCATAATAATATTTTGTTACTGAAACAGAACAAAGCTGAAATCAAAGATAATCCAAAATCAGCTTTATGATAAAAAAATTCTCCATGTAAATTTTTTAAAGGCAGCCTTCTTTCCAAAAGTAAGTGTATATTTTTTATAGACTGACTTAAGAATTATGTGGTGTGTTTACAAGAAAATCTGGTTAAGTAGTTATCATAATTTACTATGTGCCATTTAGCAGAATACTATTATATCTTCCCCTTTTAATTGTATTCCACAAATAAAAACATTGTATATGAGCTTCACACACATAATGCTGTGGGTGTTTGCAGAGCTGACTGACATGTTAAATGCCTTCCAACAGCAGACTACTGATGAAAGTGCGTACAACTCTATCTGCTTAAGTGGAGTTACTTTAGATTGTTCAACAGTTCACTTTAACTATTTTTACAGAAGAGGTGATCCACATATTCAAGAGAAGAAAATTATCAAAAAGCTATGCTGGATTTAATCAACAGTTTGGAATGCTGTAAAAAAATGTTATCCACTAAGCTTTTAAAATTTAAATATAGTTATCAGCTGTTAATATTTTATGCTTTTTTGGAGGTAGCTAACAAAAAGTAGTCTGTTGTACTTACTTCTGCATTAGAAGATTCTCAAGGCTTCTTCTTACTAAAGCAATTTGGCATTTCAGTATTCCTTTGGAATAATCTATATCAGTTTAACATGTGTCCTACTTAGTCAAATGACAGCAACTCTTTCGCATACTGTCTCACTTATACAAGAATCTTACACCAGAGCATTAAAGTAGCTACAAAACAAGTTCAAATTTAAAGTTACATGCTCTTGACAGTACAACTTCCTAAAGTTCATAAGATGTCGATGATGGACCTCCTTGATGCAATTCTGCTTATTCACAGGGAAGCATATGAAAAAGTTCAGCTGTATTGAACACAAGAGGAATCAACAAAAGGAAGTAGCATCATTGTTCACGATTCCAATTCTCCACTTACTCAGTACTACCACCTTCTGAGGGTTATTGTTTTTTTGTCTCTAGGACATTGTTGCCTCCTTCCCGTGTCTCAGCTTTCTTCTTCTTTCATTGTACTGACATGCATAGTTCCATGAGGTTATATCCAGTGTCACTGCCATAGTCTTCTGGCTTCGGGCAACCTACCTCAGTGTATGTGATTTACCACAGGCTCCAGTGTTTGAAGCAGACAGTGGCCATTAATGTTTCACTTCACTTAAAGTGGACTTAATTTAATACTTTGCTTAATTTTGGACAAATAAGAAGATTCAGAATATTTTAAATCTCTTGATTCTTTTAACATGCTCTCCTCAAAATGCTTGCCATAATCCTAATGAATGCAGTGGTAGAAATAAATTAGACCAAAAATAAGCAGTCCAGCTATAACCTTATGAAGATTTAACCATATTCATATATTCACCAAACATACTGCACATAGTGACCAGGGCCTATTTCTGCAACCTTGTCCCATGTGAATAACAGATCTTTACAACTTGCATAACTGCACAATCAACTTGAAATGTTATGGCAATAAGTGTAACTCCCTGATGAGACCAAGAGATAAGCAAAAAAGAACTTCTTACATATTCTGAAATTACAGAATGAAGGCACTTTATTTTTTGGTGCATGGATAAAATATTCAAAAATAAATCCCAGTTTTTAAATAATTTACCTCATTTTTATGTAGTGTTGCAAGAAACAGGTGCATAATTTAGTAATTTCACTCATTTCATAATCAGTCATTTCAGACATACAATAAAGAAATCAGCAACACACCTTCATTATCATAGATAATAAGATCAGTACATTAAACATATTTAGACATTATTTTATCCTACAACAAATATGGAAGAAAAACCCAACAACTCTTATTAGAAATATAAAAGAAGCAGGTCTTTATGTAATTTTCAATAAGCAGAAGCAAGGACGGTATTACTGCATAGATGGAACACATAACAGAAGTAAAGACACATCCAGATCTGTACACATGTCTTGGAAGGATATAGAAAGTGGATTTGGAGAAGGTTCAGAGTAATTTTTTTTAAAAAATCATAATAAACACCATTGCTTGTGTTTGTCCTCTATTCATTAACCCCAAGATCATAACAAACATAGATTAAGCTATGTTGTGAGGAAATGTACACGGCAAAGTGACCTGCTCACGATCTCAGTGTGAGCACCAAGAAAAGGACATGGTCCATAATCTTTCGCGTTACTCAGAGGAGCAGCTCACATATCCTGCCTTCTCCTTCCTGCTTTCCTTACACATGAAGCTTCCTGCTGGCCCCAGTTTTCCTTTTATTCTCTTCAAAGACATCCTTCTCCTATATTCTACTTTGTGAAAAGTATGGACTGCCTTTGGAAAGGTACATCAACTAATCTGTCTTCCTTGGTATTTATCAATTTAGTGTTGTTATCCATCTGTACCAACCCTAATCAATATGTTACTAGAATAATAATATCTCAAGTGCATAATACAGCAAATATTATGGATTAGTGAGATATTAGCAGTATCAAGATGATTACTTTCTCCACCTCTATGGATGTGGGGAAGGTTTACAACAGGGATCCTGTCCATTCTTCAGCTGAGATTTAGGTGCTCTTCTGGAGTCTGACCGGGTTAGATAATACCTATCTTCCAATTATTTCTCTTTTCTTTATTGCTTCTGATGACTGTTATGCTTGGGTGGATCATCAAAAATGGTTTCCTTCTTGTCCTGGTTTCTTCACTGGTACTGAATTGGCGAATCCTTCACCAACATAAAGCTTGGCTTTGGGGTCTTAAATGCCTGTGCCTCTGCCTCTACACCTACTTAACTCATTATAAGACCCTAGAGGGGTAAGTGGACACTTCATCTTCCTGTATAAATCAACTCAAAACTGTTAATCTAATGTTACACAAAGAAAGGAAAAATACCTTTAGTATAGTAGCCTGATAGTCACTGTGTAGCCATATTATGATAGACTAATAATTTTTGGCCAGTTTCACTTTTGCAACCAAAACCTCTTTGTCATAAAATCGGGAAAAAATTGGACAATTATTTGAAACAAATGCTATATTAATTACTGTCTTTGTTTCAGGGCCTTTAAAAATCGCTCTTTCCAGATACTTCTTACATCTCCTCTGTCTCGGTAAAAGGTTAATCTTTCACTTCGTCTTGTCTCCAGTCCTTACAGGCCTGTATTTTGTTTGCTTTCTTTCCTTTCACTTTGGAATGATAAAGTAAAATTAACAAGATACAACCAACAGATGTGCAAGGAAGAAATCATCACATCTCTGACATGGCTTTCAATCCTAATTAAATTGGGCTATCTCAATCCATTCAGTTTCTGTGAGGATGCAATCATTAGCATGTCTGCTGATGGAAGCACTTATAACAGAGATCTTTGCAGGAAGATTTAGTTTCTGTCAGTCTAGAGGCTCGTTAGTGTTGATATAGGACTTCCCCCAAAAGATTTTTCTTTATTTAATTAACAAGACATTCTTTAAGCCATATGAGTTTTGGCTCACAGTCATTCTCAAATCCCACATTATTTTACAACAGTAGTGGAGAACCACCTACTGGAAATAATGCTTCCTGCAGTGCAATCCATGATTCCTTCATGCCTTTTGTTTCTTTTCGAAGTCTCTGTCTCCACTGAAAAATGGCTCTGAGGAGCTGATACTGTTTCATTTCTTTGGAGCACCTTTTCTTTTTCTTAAGGAAAAAAAAACCTAAAAAACCCAACTAACCAAACAAGATTGCAGCCAGTTCCAGAACAGGGACAGAAAATAAGAAGAGAAAAATCATTCTGTAAATGTCAAGCAGGAATTGGTGTCATGATGCTGTAAGCTCCTATGAGAGACAAATTACTGATATATGACATACTGTGATAAGATACAGTTATGAGATATAAGGAACTACAGTAAAAGGCATTGATACTGAAACGTACTACAGTCATTGAATTTCATTTTTTTCCTCAACAGAGTATTATATTTTTTATGTAAGATTTTTTTTTGCATGCAGGAAACAGTATGAATGAGGGATCTATACCTTAAGAATAAGCAACTGCAACAAAAATAATGAGTCATTGAATTAAGGTAGTATCTTCTCTTAAATTCTGCCTCCACCTGCTGGGCCGTGGGAGGAATGCCACTGTAATAAGACAAAGCATCTTCCAAAAGCAACATTGACAACACTGTGCTGGATATCCAGACACAGTACCTGAGGTCAGGATAATAGTACATTAGTTAGAAGAATTTAAAAAATGCTGATAAATTAAATTCTTTATTAGCTTCAGAATTGCAATATTGCAATTATTATTAAATGAATAATATATATTCATCACACAGAGAGCTTCCATCAAGTTGTAGATTGTTTCCAAAGTGATTTCAGTTGTGGATATACAGTCATGTGGGTCATGGGGAGAAATGGGAGAAAGATGGTGCTATGACAGGCAGTCTTATGCTCACCTTTTTCACATACTCTGTGTTGTCCAGATCTATTCCTTTGATATGGGGGTATCTGGTGGAGAGAACAATAGTACTTTTATTGAAACATCTTTATTTCACAGGTTTTCCAATCATTTAGTTCCTTTTCTAAATTATAGATAGATTAATGTGTCATTGGAAAGGAATCGTCTTTTTTTTGAGCAAAATACATTAGTCTAAATCCTAATATGGGACAGATGGGGGTCTAACTGCATTTCCATGTGGTACCATTAGAATGTTTGTCTAGCAGGATGAATTGTGAGGCCAATGTAAATATTTAATGTTTCTGCTTTAGAAACTCAGTGTAATGGAAATGCTGAAAATTATGTTTTTTTCCATTCTGACAAGTGACAATCCCCTAAAATGAAAGAAATATAGATGATACCAGCTTTACTGAAACAGAAGCCCTGAGTGTGTTATGCAAGTTGCAGCCCTCTGAGGGACCAGCAGCTTCCTCCTGAGGTGAAGTGAAGGATCAGGCACTGATCTCTGGGGACCAGTGACAGGACCTGAGGGAATTGCCTGAAGTTGAGTCAGGGGAGATTTAGGTTGGATATTAGAAAAAGATTCTTCACCCACTGGTGGTTGGGCACTGGAACAGGCTCCCCAGGGAAGTGGTCACAGCACCAAACCTGCCAGAGCTCAAGGCCCATGGTGTGACTCTTGGGGATGGTCCTGTGCAGGGCTAGGAGTTGGACTTGATGATCCTTGTGGGTCCCTTTAAACTCAGGATATCCTACGGTTCCATGATTCTAACAACTTCTTCCAAATACCATGCACAGCACAGCTTCTACACACAACCGTTTTTTTTAAGTGCCGAACCCTCTATCTATTCTTTTCCCCAAAAGAAAGTTTAAAGAACCTAGGTCTGTGAACTCAGTGCCCTAAAACAAGGCACACAACACGCAAAATGGAACTGCAGAAAAAGAAGGAAAAGAATCAGAACAAGACTACCACGACTTCCACCTCCTCACTGCCGTGTTTCTTGAAGGAGGCCAAAGATGGACAGGAACAGATTAGTCGATACTCCTCCGAACGAGGGCAGGATCTGATCCTTGTCCACGCTCAGGGTTCAACGTGATCTCACTAGTCTTCCAGTCAGGCAAAGGCACTTACAGAGTTCACTGTCGTTCTCTTATTTTATTTTATGAGCAAAACGTGCCCAGCCCTCCCCATCAGACTGCAAGACAAGGGCGGGCCGTTGCCCTGACGGGAAAACTACCACTCCCAGGAGGCATCGCCGTCGGCCGGGCGGCCGCGCCTCGCGCAGTGCCCTCTGGGAGTTGAAGTTTCAGCCGCCCCTCCCCGGCAGCCCCGGCGGTTGCGCGGGGGATCCTCGGCCGGCGCGCGGGAAGGGCCGTCTCGCCGTCCGGGCCGGGCGGCGCCTGCGCAGCGTGGACGGGCTTCGGCGGGCGGAGGTTACCAGGTAACAGTGCGTGTGTCTCTGTGTGTGCGTGTGTTTCTCTGTGTCTGTGTGTCTCTCTGTGTGTCTGTCTGTGTATCCCTGTATCCCTGCGCCAGGCACCACCCCCCGCGTCCTGGCGGAGCGGCGGCCAAGATGGCGGTGGTAGCTGAGGCAGGGGCGCTGTGAGCTGCTCCGCCAGCGGTGTCCTGCCGCGCCGGGCGAGGCGAGGCCGCGCCGCTCCTCCGCTGCCCGCAGGCGGAACGCCCGTTCGAGCAGCCCAGATCACGCGAGTGGCGACCGGCGGTGGAGGAGAAGCCAGGCCGGGTGACCCGCTCGGCGCGGGGTGAGCCACCCTCTCCTGTCCCCCGAGCTGCCCCTTCCCCGTCCCTTCCCCGTGTGGCAGCGGGGGCCGCGCCGGGGCGGCGGGGCAGAGCGGCCCGGCCCGGCCCGGTCCGCGGGTGTGGGCGGTGGGGAGCGGGCATTGGGCTCGGGGACAGGTCCAGGGTAAGGGGGAGCTGTGCGGTACCGGCGCGATGTGGGGGCCGCGCTCCCCGCCAGGGCAGGGCGCGTTACCCGCTCTCCAAGGAGACGCTGCCGCGTCCGGGCCAGCGGAGGCGCCTTGGGCAGAGCCCGCCCACACACCCGCCCCGCGGCGCCGGCTTTGGCGCCGCGAGGGAGCGGGGTCTGCACTCGCCGCCCCCGGGCCGGGAGCGCCGCGGCCGCCTCAGGCAGCGGCTCGGCCGGCACAACCGCCGGGGCAGCGCTCGCTCCGCCGGCCCCGCTGGCGGCGACAGGACCTGTCGGGCGTGGGCTCGGGGCCCGCCGGGAGATCGGAGCAGGTCGGGACGACAGAGCCTGCTGGAAGGCTCCGGCATTGGAAGTCCCGGGCACGCCGCCCCCGGTCCGGGTGTGTGAGTGTGCGGCTTGTGAGAGGTGCGACAGGAGGGGACTTGCTCTGTTGACTGCACCTGTGCGATGGTACTGTGTGGTTGGCATTTAATGAGTTAATGCCCAATGAGGAGCGCACATCTTAAAAAACTAAAAAAGAAATGTTTAGTCCCGCTTTTAGCCTTTATGGCGCTGTCATGGTTTTTTGTGACTTTTTGTTTTCCGGTTAATTTCTTTATTTTCAGAAGTTTTCTCTGTGCAGGATTTGGTGCTTTAAAGAGCTCTTGCAGTTCACATGAGTGCTGTAGGGAAAAAATCTCAAGAACAACTCTGCTGTAGAATAAAAAGCATTTTAAAATACATACCTTTGTTTTGCTAGCACGTTTAGTAGTAGTTCTTCTGAGCAATTTGCATATGTACAAAATATGTTTTGCCTATAATCCTACATGTTATCTTAAGTTATTTTTTCTGTAGAAAATCTACTTTAAAGTCCTTTTTATTTTTCCACAAGTCTGTGTAAATGTTGTAAGGCAGTATTGACATGCTCAAATAGAGCTTTTATACAGATTCTGTGATATGCAAGAAGCTGAAATTGGCAATGGTTGCTGGATGCAGAAATAGATAATGGTAAGGTACCAAAGCTTTTAGAAGAGGATTTCTTGTGAAAATAGCTGGTAAAATGAAAACTAAGCAAAAATGCAAATTGGTGAAATGTATGTGTGGAGGAAGAAAATGCAGCTTCAGATGAGAGAGTTTCATTTCTAAGAAAAAAGCTGGCTGAACCTCTTTGTGTTTTTTAACTGAGTTAAAGGGATAAAATACTAGCAGAGCTCTTGGATCTTAAATTCACTTTATCTGGAAATATCAAAGCCCATACTATGAAAGTTTAAAATTTGCTCTTTGGAAGGGCCACACTTCTGCTAGAAGACTTTAAAATCTACTGTCTGGAAATAATCAGGTTATTGTTATTTTTGACCTGTATTTATCAAGGTGTATTGGTATATGCCTAGACTCCTTGTTTGAGAGTATTATTCGGAATATTCCATGTGGGGCAGTGAACTTACTTCAGAGGTGATGAGAGACTTCTACAGCAAAAATAGGTGAGGACAGCTTTTGTGAAAGTTTTAAAAGAAGTAAATGTGAGTATATAAACATGAGTACTGCCACTTCTTTTTACAGTGGAAGGTAGGGAAAAACTACTTTTGTGATGGTTTTAGTAGAATTATATAACATGATGATGAGGAAACAGCTTACTGAATTGGACTGTAAACCCAGATGGCCTCTAATCTTCCTCATTATGCTTAGTGACATAGGTCAGGGTACAGTGTCTGTTGAGATGTTGGGTCTCGCACATTTACAAAGCTGAACAGTTTATCTGTAGCTGAGGAAAGTTCTTTAAAAGCATAGCTCGTTTTAAACTGGTAACTATGCATTTGTTTATGGGACGAAGAAGGGAGTATGAATTAATGTGCAGGGACAGTAGGGCAAAGTTCCCAAAGTAGCAGGCACTGGGTTGTACCTGTGTTATGATTCTGCTTGTGAGATACAGAAGCTGAGTTACTCCTAAGTGTTAATGTGAGTGGAGATGTGGTTCTGATATAATGAGCACACCTGGTAGATCCCATTTCCTTTATGGTTTAGTAATAGGCTGTGTTTGCGCAGAAATACTGCCTTGTGCAGGTGTGCCTGCTGAGAGGGCTGTGTTGTGTGATTTTGATTGAATCCTATACCTAAGCAAGATAGGTGTATTAGTACAGCTTTTAGACTTAGTTCAGGATTAATCTGTTTTCCTTTCTAGAATTGATATTAAAAAACCCCAACAAATTTCTTAGATACTTCTTAATGTTGAGTTTCAGATGATTTTGATGTGAAAATTAATAATAGATAGGCTGCAGCAAAATTTTGAGAAATAAGTTGTCCTTTTTGATTTTTTTTTCAGTTAAAAATAAAGCTTGGCTCATGCCCTAACACAGCAGTGAAAACTAGCTGGAAAAATTAAATCTCTGCAAGACTGTTTTTCTTCTGCGTCTGTAACTACTTCATAGGTAAAGTTTGTAGCTTTGTGCAGTGGAATTGTACTAGCAGCACTTAGTGTATATAGTTGTGTATTCTTCACCTTTTTGAACAGGCTAATCTAATTTTATTACCATAAAGGAATACGTTTTCCTGATCTTTCAACTTTAACGACTTTTTTTATTTCTAATGTCAAAACTAGAAGCCAAAATGAAAACATTACATTTAGGTTGCTTCATACTGCACAGAATGACACTGTTAAAGAGCAGCAAAGCTCTAGGAAATCCACATTATTTTGTTTGATTTTGGTAGAAAGCATAATGTGTCACAGCATTGACTGCTTAAAGAGCTTAATGTGTGGTAAAGAAAGTAAAAATCCTTTTACCGATGTTTGTTTTCCTCATGTTTTATCGAATGTGCCATTCAGTACTCTGTTGTCACAGAGTACTGTCACACACAGTTAAAATGTCACACATTTTAACACATCGGTGTTAAAATGAATGTGAAAGTTTGACGTACTAGGTCTCCAGAGTCACTCATTGTATCAAATAGACATCACCCTGGACTTGAAAGTGTAGGCCTTATGAATTACAAAGCAATCTTTCTGAGCACTGTATCGTTTGTTTTAAAGTGAGGACAATTGAGAGCCTCCCAAAGAAAACGTTTCTTTTGTAGAACAGAGATTAAAAAAACAAAGGTAAAAAAACTCCAAACCCACAACTATTTCTTGTTTATTTTTTCATGCCGGTTTCTGTGTTCTTCTCATTGATACATTTCTAGTAACACAGTTTAGTAAATGGAGAGTTTAGTTTCCTAAAACAGCCTTGTGTTTGCATTTTATAATTAACATGTAGTTGTCATCTCAGATTATGAATCTTTAAAATATTGTATGTAAACTGATTTTAATACAGCACATTTTTTTTAGATTGTTTCTTTTAGATTGTTTTTATTGACCGCTTGCCATGGCAACAGGAGGTGGTCCCTTTGAAGAAGGCATGAATGATCAGGACTTGCCCAGCTGGAGCAATGAGAGCCTCGATGACCGGCTGAACAACACGGTATCGTTATTCTTGTCTTGCTCTTGCCGTTTGATGCTGTACATTAGAATTACTAGGTAGATTCTGTTACTGGCAGGTAACAATGCAACCCCCTAAGCCTTGTCAGTACAGCTCTAAGGTAAATATCTGCAAAAACAGAGGTAGATGTAAGCAAACGATGAGTGTAATTTACGGCAAGCATTTTGGATAAATAAAGTAGCTAGACACAAAAGTGTTGTAGGTGTCATGAAAGCGAAAACTGTAACTTGGAAAGTTCTAAGCTCCTGAAGTGAAAGTCCTCAGCAAAGAAGAAAAATACGATTTTAGCTTCATTTGAAATTAATTTCATGCATTTTAGGATAAAATTAATTTCAGATTTCCCGAGAAGCTATTTTTAATTATGCAGTGGAGAAAAGTTTATTTGTAAAGTGACATTTGCTCTAGAAAACATATTTTGATATTGGTTACTATTTTTACTTCTAAAATGGAAGTAAACTCTACATCACTGAATGAAATAATTTACTGTTTGTCTGTGTGTATAACAAATATGACTTTTTTTCTTCTCTGTCCTTCCCCTTAAGGACTGGGGAAGTCAACAGAAGAAAGCAAACAGATCTTCAGAAAAAAACAAGAAAAAGCTTAGTGGGGAAGCTGAAACAAGGCTTACTAATGATATATCTCCAGAATCCTCACCTGGAATGGGACGACGGAAGGCCAGAACTCCTCATAGTTTTCCTCATGCTCGGTACATGACCCAGATGTCTGTTCCAGAGCAGGCTGAACTAGAAAGGCTTAAACAAAGAATAAACTTCAGTGATCTGGATCAGGTTTGTGTGAATACTAGCTCTCACCCAAAATGTGACTACAGAATAATTTATTCAGTTATCTCTTAATAATGTGACATTTGAGGAAAACCTTTCATAAGTGATTAAGGTAAAAAAAAGGTCTTATAGGCACCGTGAGAGCCAAATCAAAATTCTGGTTTTGAACTTGAAAAAATTAGGGAAAGTCTGGGACCATGGCTTTCCTATGTTTAAGAGTATGCTAGCTGTCTTCACTCTCTTAGTCTCAGCCATTAACTAATTCCTGTGTCCTCAGGTTAGTAGTTCTTACTCATGGTACTTGTCTGCCACTTGAAAATATCTGTTACCTTATTTTGAAAGTCTGTTCTTGAAAGTGCCGGTTTGTGATTCTGAACGTTGTTAGCCTTGTGGATTAAACAGAGAAGTATAATTAAAAACTGCTCCTCAGTACAGTGTTGAGAATTTTGTGGCACAAATTCTTGAGCCATAACTTCTTTTTTTGGGAATATGGCACATTCATCCTTCTCTTGTCCAAAACAATGAAAAGTACGAGGGATTAATTCTTTAGTAACAAGGCATAAATTTGTGCAGTTTCAGAACAGAGGCTGGTTCATCTTTCCCAAAGGTTGTTGCTAACTTCTTTGGATAGTGAAGATTCTTTCAAGTGTGATTCATTGTGTTGACTTAGAATATAAAGGCTGGGTATAACTTTCTCCTCAGCTGTATGTTATTGCAGCATGTTGCTATTCAGAAGGTTCTAAAGAAAGCTGAAGTTATGAGGTATCATATCCTGCAGGGGAATATGTTGATTTTTTATTATTGTTGCTTTCTCAAATGTATCTGGAGAGTAGGATGCCTTTCACCATGGTAAAGGTGGAGGCCACAAGAAGAATGAGTAACTAAATTCTGAGGAACTGCAGAACCTTTTTGCTTCTCATCTATTCTGGGAGGATGGGCTTGCTTTCTGAAAACTATATGGCAAAAATCACCAGCACTGTCTTTCTCTAACTTTTGGCTGGTCGGTAAATGAGTCTAATAATACTGCAGAAATATTAATTTAACCAGTGAAATTAATCAGTGTTGAGAACATATTGGATGAAAATAATAAAGCAATTGTTCTTTCTTTTGTTTTTATATAGAGAAGCATTGGAAGTGACTCTCAAGGCAGGGCAACGGCTGCTAACAACAAACGTCAACTTAATGAAAGCAAAAAACCATTCAACTTCCTGTCAATGCAGATTAACACTAACAAAAGCAAAGATCCTGCCTCAGGTTCCCAGAAAAAGGAAAGTGGGGTTTCAGCGCAGTGTAAAGAGTTGTTTGGAGCTGCTCTGAGCAAGGATTTCTTGCAAAATTGTCAAGTCTCTACTCAAGAAGATGGAAGGGGAGAACAAATGATGGATAGTAGCCAGGTATTTACATGGCCTATAGAGTCTACAGGATATTAGTATATATATGTCTCTCTTAATTTTCAGTGCATCTTTCTAAATTTCTTAAAACTATAAATCTTTATTGGAAATACTTAACTTCCTACTGTTCTGAAAGGCAGCTTGAAGAAAATGTGAAAGCAAACTTAATCATCTCTTGTTCTTTAGAAATCCACTTATTAGTAACAGTAGCGGTATTAATTTTCATCTTAGAGGTTGGCTCCCTTTAATAAGGTTCCAGAAAATACTCTCACAGTTCAATATTTTCCTGTGCTGATGAGCTCGTTTCTGTTTTGGCCTATGTTGACTAGAAGCCCTGTGCTTCAGCCTTGCAGCTTCTCGCCTGCGTAAATCTATCCTTCCAAAAGCTGTTGACTTTAAACTGCTTTTGGAAGTGTGCTTGTAGGATTGAAAGTATTAGTGTGTCTCCCCCTTTAATTACTCCTTTGCTATTGCTATCACCATGTCTTGTGTATTAAATACGTTGAAGCTGTAGCTGAATGCATTCAGTAACTTCAGTGTCTTTACAGATTGTGAGCAGACTAGTTCAAATTCGCGACTATATTGCTAAGGCCAGCTCCATGCGGGATGATCTTGTAGAGAAAAATGAAAGATCGGCCAATGTTGAGCGTTTATCACACCTTATAGATGACCTTAAAGAGCAGGAGAAATCCTATCTGAAATTTTTGCAAAAGATACTTGTAAGTTTGAGAACATGATATATCTGTTTCTGCACTGTAAGCTTTTTTTCGGAGTTGACCATTGATGTTTTGATGGTGGCACTGGGGGTGTTGGTTTTGGTATGCAGTACCTTCCATAACTCATTTTTACTGCCCCCTTATATAGCTTTTGATTTATGCCAATGAAATGTTTCAGGCTAGAGAAAATGAGGAGGATGATGTTCGGACTGTAGATTCAGCTGTGGGATCTGGTTCTGTAGGTGAGAGCACATCGCTAAACATTGATGTGCAGTCTGAGGCTTCAGATACCACGGTAAGCTGCCTTTTAGTAATTAAGGTGCTAGAAATGAAGGCTTTATTTTGGTTTTGTCATGGATATGATAGTGTCATAATCTGCAGTTCGGTTAAAAAATGGTAAATCCGAAGCACTCTGTTCAGGAGGTGTTTGTGCATGTGTTGATCTAATTTTTTTTTAATATGGGAAAAAAAAGTAATGATTCTGTCACAGCAAAATTTTAAAGATTTTTTTTCTTTTTAATCAAGAAGTGAAGGTTTTTTAAAAATCTTTATTCTTCAAAGTACAACGAAGGGTTAAACGTGTACTTTGGCAGAGCATTCACTGGCTTGATGTAGGAAAGAATATTTTTCTATGCAATTTTTCATCTATAAGTTTATTTCTGTTACTGGGAAAATTATCTGGTTTTGGATCAGGAGAGGGTTAGAAATGAGTCATTAGTGGGCCATTGTCCAAGTATCTTTCTAGTGATATGATAGAAGTATTGACCTAGCACAGAAGTTTCTCTCATTTTTTGGCAAGATGGGCACTTTTTAAAAAATCTGTTGTGAATTTAGTGCTGAGATAAACAGTCAGTCTTCCTTTCTATTTTTAAAAGCTTTTGTTTTTAGCGTGGTAAACATTTCTTGTAGTAGATACAAAAGCATTTTAATAACTTAAGTTTTGCTTCTTCCTTTACTATTATACTGAGAAAAAGTGCTATAGAACAGGTGCTCTCTTTGGCCAGTTAGTACAGAGAATGTTCTGCGGATGAGGAGAATTTATGTGCTTGGAAGTAAAACTG